CATGTTTGTTTCTCAAAATTGTTGGGCACTATTATAATATTCTTTCAACACGCACACACACACACAAATGAGTTTAATTCTCATGAAAGCACCGTGTGCTAAGTACTGTCATGTTCATGCAAGGAAATCAAGGCCCAGAAAATTGAAGGCAGTGCCCCCCGTCACTTGCTGTGTGTGGGCAAGCTGGGGACTTGAACCCAGCAGGACACACCTGACTCACTGGTCACCCTGTCTCAGGAATCCCTGGGGATAAGTAGCTTGCAACCCCAGCATCCCGAAACAGAAGGGAGAGGGTTGGGTTGACATGGCGGAATGTAGTGGCCCTAGCCAGCCACTCCTCACTGCTCTGCCCCTGTGGGTGGTGTGGTCAGTAAGCTGGGGTGCAGGCTCAGGTGCTGGTTGTGGGGGGGGGGGGACTTCCTTCCTGCTGCCTCAGGGCTTCTTCTGGTCATTGTCAGGTGGGATGGGGGATGGTTGTGCAGTGGGCAGCCCTCTATGCTTCGGGCCCTTGCCTGCTGCTCACTCATAAGGCCTGGGAAGTGGCAGTAAGAGGGTACTTAGAAAAGTTCATGGGATTAAAGCATGAGTTTGCTTTTGTGCTAAGATTCCTTCTGTCCTTGCCGAGTTTGTCCATGATGCACATTTTCTGTGTCTGAAGACTCCTGGTAATGTCTCTGAGGGCTGGGGAATGGCTCTTGTCCCAGGAGGACCCAGCTGCAGGACTCAGTGCCTGGCAGGTGGCTTCCCCCTGTGAGTGCCAAACCAGGCCTGGGGTGGTCACACAATATGGAGGCAGCACATGACCATTTGTCACCCTTGCGTCCATGTGGTAGGGAGGAAACTGATCTGCATCCTAGGACAGGTGCAAGACCATTGAAAACAGGCACTGCAAGCAGCAAAGGTGTGAGATTCAAGGCCAGCTTCCTGCCAGTCTGCTCCAGTTTTTCCTGGGTGGCATCAAGTTTGAATTCCCACACATCCTTCTAAGTGGTCTCTTTCTCTATTGTTTACAGTCCGTGAGTGGCAGAGGCCAGTGCAGGGGCATGGAGAGGAGCATGTGGAGCCCAGGTGGCTGTCCCTCCTCTGCCTTTGACCGGGAACTTTCTGAAAAGTTCCCCATGTGTGTGTTAATACAGTAAAAACCAGTTGTACCAAGTGCACTTCAAATGAACAAAATGTGCGGAATGTGCACTGTCACTTAGCAAAGCTGTTTTTATATAAGAAGACTTCAGAAGAGTTGTGCATGGGATGGATGTCTGGCATGGTGGTTAAGGTGCCCACATCTGAGAAGTGTCTGGTCCCTCTGGTTCCTGACTCTATTCCTGATTCCAGTTTCCTGCTCATGTGCACACCCTAGGAGGTAGCCTGTGAAGGCTCAAGTATTAGGGGGTCCTTGTCACCCATGTGGAAGACCCAGATGAAGTTCTGATTCGTGACCTCACACGGAGCTTTCCCTGGCTGTTGGGGGCATTTAGATGTGATGGGAGATCCCTAGATCTCAAGAGCCACCTGCTTGGATATGAGACCAAGTTCCTGTTCTGCCTCTCCCGCTTACTGACCACTGACCTTGGCCACGTTTGTCTCTTCTCCGTGTCTTTGTCTCTTCTTTGGGGATAGTTAACTTCCTAGAGTGGCTGGCATTGCTCAGGGGGTGCTGGCTTATTATAAAGAGCTCGACAGAGGTGCACAGAGGTGCTGATTAGAGATACCCCAGGAGGGAGCACTGGCCTTGGTCCTGTGTGACCTGAAGTACTCTGAACAGGCCCTGTGGTTTGTTATGTGAGCCTCATGATGCTGACACCATTGCTTAAGCCACAGGCCACTGGGGATCACCTTGACCTTCAGCCTCTCTCTCATCACATGGTCGGCTTCCCTTCATGTGGCACCCAGGATATTCCAGCCCTGGGAAGACACTCGGTACAGGAGAGAGCTTAAGGGTTTCTGTGAGTCATGTGACAGGAAACAGGTAAACAACAGATGGAGTGATCTTTTTAGTATTTTTTAAAAGATTGATTTATTTTGACTGGAAAGGCAGATCAGATTGAGAAAAGGAGAAACAGAGAAAAAGATATTCCATCCACTGGTTTACTCCCCAAATGGCCACTGTGGCCTGAGCTGAGCCCATCTGAAACTAGTAGCCAGGGATTTCTTCCAGGTCTCCCACACAGGTACAGGGTGCCAAGGCTTTGGGCCGTCCTGTACTGCTTTCTCAGGTCACAAATAGGGAGCTAGATGGGAAGTGGAGCAGCTGGGATATGAACCGGTACCCATATGGAATCCCGGCACTGGCAACATGAGGATTTAGCTGCAGAGGTATGCTGGGCCCCCGGATGGAGTTATCTTATTTAAAAATTACATGCAAAAAATCCTAGCAGATTGATTGTATATGTTGTCAAAAATTCCAGCTGATGCTTAAAAAATCTTGTTTTTAACTATTTGAAAAGCAGAAAGAGAGAGTTGTGCATTGTTTGCGAGTTCATTCCCCAAATGCAGACGCTGGCATTCAGTCTGGGCTTCCTGTGTGGGTGGTAGGGACTCAGACACTTGAGTCACCCTGCAGGGTATGCTTTTACAGAAAGCAAGAACCACGAGCAGAGCCAGAACTCACACCCAGGAGCTCTGACATGGCTGTGAGCATCCCAAGTAGGGGCTCAACTACTGCCCCAAATCCCAGCACTTACTCTGGTGTCCGTGTGCAAAGATGAAAGACTCCAAGTAGGAAGCCCAAGGTTGAAGAACAGCACTTGAGGAAGGGCCGTGCCCGAGCTTGATACTTGCTATAAGACGGGGTGATGTTGGCAAAAGAGCAGACAACCTGCTCCGTACATTGGGCAAAATTATCTAGAAAGGTACCTTTGTAAACGGCAGCTCATCTTCCACAGAGCAGCAGAGGTGCACAGTGGAGAAAGATGGTCTTTCCAGTTCTTGCCCAGGGAGTGGTCAGGTGGTACAGGGAAGGCAGCCATCCTGGGTGCTGCTTGCCAATGCCTGCGCCCCCTTGCTTGGACAGGACAAATTCCGAAGGGTGTCTGTTGCCCTGCAGTAGAAGAGGTGCAGACACTTAGGGCTGTGGGCACCGGTACCATGACGTTGAGCTTCTGCTTTTTTTTTCCCCTGCTCTGTTTGGGGGCGTGTTCGCACCTCGCTGCTGCTTGCTTGTTCTCTTGTCCCTGTCTGGTGTCTCTGTCTGCTTGCATTTATTCTGTGTGTTTCCGCCTGCTTTGGGCTCCTTCTCTGCCCCAATCTCCAGCTCAGCCCCCGTCTGGGCCCCTTCTGTCTCAGAGCCCCTGTGCATTAGCCACCCACCCTGTTTAGGTTGGAGAAGAGCTTACAGTCCCTGCCTCTGCAGAGCTTGTAGTCTAGGAAGTGAACTGTGAATCCATGGCAGAGTCCTCGTCGCTGCTCAGTGCGGTGGCACGTTGCGTGATCCATGTAGAAGCCGGAAGGTGGAGGGGGTGATTTCTGAGCCTGATGTTGACTGAGCTGACACGGGAAGGGAGAACATGAAGTTGGTGTTAGAGTTGGCTTTCAGTGTCCTATGCTTACTAGGGGTTAGTGTGGCCCACTGGATCTTCTGACAGGAAGTCTGTATAATGGGGGTGGGGACACACAGTTGAGCTGACGGAGGTGGGTAATCAGTGGAACATTCGGCATGTGCCGAGGGGTGGGGCCGATGAGTGTGCTTAGATGTGTAAAGGTGACCCTGGGCAAAGCTGCAGGTGGACCTAGGTCAGGTGGCTGCTGTCGCCTGCACTCCGCTGGGCCAGGGAAGTGGCTAGAGGTCGACAGGTTCAGAATAAGAATGGTGGGACTTGGTGACTACTGGAAGGTGGTGTTGCACTCTCTGAACATTCGGCTTTAGTTGTGCATGTATGTCCCATTCTTGCTGATTTGCACAGAATATATGTGATTAGAATGTGTTGTGCTGCAAGGAAGAAAGCCCATAGCGAGCTGGTTCCTGTAGACATGTCTTGGTAAAAAGAATTGTTAGACTTGGTTTTCTCTTGCAGGTAGGTAAAAAGTCTCTATAATAAACATTTTTAGAAATGAACAAGAATGAGGCTTTAGGGCCCGGCGCGGTGGCGCAAGTGGTTAAAGGTCCTCGCCTTGCACGCCCGGGATCCCATATGGACGCCGGTTCTAATCCCGGCAGCCCCGCTTCCCTTCCAGCTCCCTGCCTGTGGCCTGGGAAAGCAGTCGAGGACGGCCCAAGACTTTGGGAACCTGCACCCGCGTGGGAGACCAGGAAGAGGCTCCTGGCTTCGGATCGGCATAGTATTGGCCCGTTGCGCTCACTTGGGGAGTGAATCATCGGACGGAAGATCTTCCTCTCTGTCTCTCCTCTCTGTATATCTGCCTTTCCAATGAAAAAATAATAAAAATAAATCTTAAAAAAAAAAAAAAGAATGAGGCTTTAAAGTCACTAGGCTTGGCTGGCGGCTGGCTGGGTAGGGTGGCTTGCGTTCACACACCCAGTACCCTGGCAGTCTACAACGATTGCTAATGCAGGTGAGTCAGCCGTGTTGACGGCCTTCTAGACGCTGCGTGTGCAAGGCGCCGAGTCCTTCCTGCGGTTTCCATGGACTTTAGAATGTCTCTTCTCCTCAGGCTGTGTTTGGTGACTAGAGCAGTGAACGGAGTGGTGCATTTTTTAAATCACTCATAAAAAGTTGAAGTTAATGAAACAAGAAGAATCTGAAGTAGAGCATATGTTGATTGGATCGACAGCCTTTTCGCAGTGTCTGCGGAGCAATGGAAGCTCTTGGCCTTCTGGCTGCTTCCAACAGGGGTGGGCGCCTAGCGTGCGGGCAGGGGTGGCCTCCTGCGTCCCTTCTGGGGGATGGGCGTGTCCTCAGGTGGGGGATGGGCGTGTCCTCAGGTGGGGGATGGGCGTGTCCTCAGGTGGGGTGGGCGTGTCCTCAGGTGGGGTGGGCGTGTCCTCAGGTGGGGAATCAGGCGGCACGAGGTGGGCTTCTCATGGCTCTGGCCTTCCCTTTCAGTGGACATCATGGAAATCAAGGAAATCCGCCCAGGAAAGAACTCGAAGGATTTTGAGCGTGCCAAAGCAGTGCGCCAGAAGGAAGACTGCTGCTTTACCGTCTTGTACGGCACTCAGTTTGTCCTCAACACCCTCAGCTTGGCAGGTGGGTGCCCGCCCCCAGGCTGTCTTCCTCACTGTGCCTCAGTTTCCTGCTGGGGATATTCCCACCTGCCTGCCCGTGGCTGCGTGCTTGGGCTGCTAAGGAGCTGAGACCCAGCCTGCCCCCTTTCTAGCCTGTGTCTTTGGGTAAGCTGCTTCACCTCTCAGCTGTGGAATGGAGGGACAGGCATGCCTTCTCCTCGGGAAAGGTGAGGAGAGTGTTCAGTGGCTGCCTGGCCCAGGCTGAGGGCTGTGTTAGCACTCGGAGCCCGCGGGCCAGGATCTGCCTTCCTCTCACACAAACTTGACATTGCGGTGCAGGGACTGGCCTAAGACCTTGTGTTGTGCATGCGCACACACCTGCACACATATAGACCTGTGTGTGTGCCGGTGAGGATTCAGGCTGTCTCTATCACTCTGTCCCTTGCAAAGCAGCTGCTGGGGATGCGGGCACAGGAGCTGGGAGGAAGCTCAGGTGCTTTGCCTTGGCACAGAAGCTGGGCTTCATCTCAGGCCCAGGCCTAGAATCTGTTGACTTAGAAATAAATGGATAATCGTGACTGATAAGTGAGAAAATAAATGCTATTGAAAGTAGTAGATTGGGGGAAGTGAGGCCTATGAAAGTTGATACACGTTTGATTTACAATCAAATAGGTTTTCTTAGTCTTGTTTCTTCACCAAGCGTCTTGTGAGCGTGGATCCCTAGCTTGGTTGAACTGGACGTCTCAGGGTAAGGGCCTGGTGTTGGCATATACCCTTGCTGCTGGCGTTCCAGATGTGTGCTGGTTTGCATCTGGGCTGGTTTGCCTTCCGTTCCAGCTCTCAGCTGATGAGCCTGGGGAAGCAGCAGAAGGTTCACTTAACTGGGGCCCTGCCACCAGTGGGGACACCCAGCTGGACGTCTGGGTTCTCAGCCTCAGCTTGGCCCAGCTCTGACCACTGTGGCCATGTGGGGGGATGAACCAGTACCCGGAAGATCTCCTCTCTTCCCTGTGTGTCTCCCTCTCTGTATCTGTGCCTTTCAAATAAGTAAATACATGCTTAAAAAATGAAAGACGGGGGAGACCCTGTGGCTGGCCTGAGGAAGCTCAGCCTGTGTGGGAGTCAGGTGTGAGGTTGGAGAACTGCCGTGTGCTGTGATAAGAGCTGTGGCTCCCAGGCAGCGCAGTGTGCACTCCGTGTGTTCACAAGGGTGTCCCAGGGCAGGCTTGGCATAGGAGGTCATGAAAAGATTTATGTTCAAATGTATTTTGAAGGCGAAGTTATAGAGAAAGGGGCAGAGGTAGGGGAAAAGAGACAGAGAGAGAGAGATGGAGGGAGGGGGAGAGAGAGATTGGTCTTCTGTGCACTTGTTCAATCTCCAGATGGTGACAGAAGCCAGGGCTGGGCCAGGCCAAAGCCAGAATCTAGGAGCTTCTCCCGGGAGGGTCTTGGGACCCAAGTACTTGAGTCATCATTTGGTGTTTTCCCAGGTGTATCAGCAGGCAGCTGGATCACAAGTGCAGCAGCTGGGATGTGAATTGGCACCCATATAGGATGCTGGTTTGTTTTAGGTGGCAGCTTTTTCTTTTTTCCTTTTAATTTATTTTCATTGGACAGATTTACAAAGAGAGATCCTCCATCTGCTGGTTCATTTCCCAAGACGCTGCAATGGCTGGAACTGAGCTGACTCAAAGCCAGGAGCTGGGAGCTTCTGGGTCTCCTATCTGGGTACAGGGTTCCCAAGGCTGTGGACCATCTTCTGCTGCTTTCCCAGGCCACAAGCAGGGAGCTGGATGGGAAGTGGAGCACCCAGAATAAGAACCGGTGCCCATATGGGTTGCTTGCACTTGGAAGTAGAGGATTAGCAGGTTGAACCAGTGCACTGGCCTGGCAAGTGGCATCTTTATGCACTATACCTCAATACCAGTCCTAGCAGGGGACTTCTGAACTGGGTGTTGAGGCCTCAGTAGGAGTTGGGAAGAGAGAGAGACAGACAGACAGACATGCAGGGTCTAGAAGAGGGGAGTAGCGAGCTGGGTTTCAGCAGTGGCAAGCAGATGTCTCCCTCGTGGTGCGTGGCAGGTGGGAAAGATGGGGCAGGAGATGGGGGCCTCACACCTGTGAACCCACACAGCTCTGTGTGTCTGGCCTCACTGCAGGCTGAGCGTGCACCCCTGCTCTTGGCAGGAAGCCCGTGGGAGCCCTGCATGCAAACTTTGGTGTCTGGGATCCTTCAGGCCCAGGAGGGTCTGGACTTCGATTCCCCACACTGCACCCCCAGCTCAGTACAGACCCTGGGCAGGGTGAGGGGGAACTGCAGTTGCTTTCTCCCATGCCACTCCCTGCAGTATTGTGCCAGCACCTGTTGGAAACAGGAGAGAGAGCAGTGCCCTCTTGGGACCAGGGGTACAGGTGCTCTCAGGTCCTGCATCCGGCACTCACTGGCCCCAGGGCTACAAGGTGACAAGTCTTGATAAAGCAAGACTGAAAGTTGGAGCTCTGTGCGTTAACCCCCCACCTCTACCACCCCACTGTGGCTCTCAGCTGTAACACCCTCCAGCCCTCCGAATTCTGATGCTGCAGCCCTGGGCTTGGCAGTTGTTGGCAGAAATGGGAGAAGGGGCTTGGCAGGTGCAGTTAAGTATTGGGAGATGGGGTGGGTCCATGCCCATCACATGGCCCCCTGTAAGAGGCCCATGGGAGAGTCAGCATTGGGGATGGAGCTGTGTTACCCTGGCCTGAGTCAGCTTTGACCATCACACAGGGCGGCTGAGACACAGCCTTGCATTTTCTGATCATTCTGGAAGCCAGAAGTGCCAAGTCAATGAGCTCACCCAGTTGGGGCTGGGGAGGGTGCTCTTCTGTGGCCTGCCTGAGGCCACCCTCAGGTCCTGGGCTCACGTGGCCCTTCCTCCATGTGTGCCTGTAGAGCCACAGGGATGTGGTCATGTAATATCAGTACTCATTTGGTCATCATGACAGCAACAGTTTGAGCACCGGAAATGGCACCTTGGGCCCACTGCAGGAACAGGTGCATCACGGTTGTGTGTGGCTGGGATCCAGGGAGGAGTGAAGGAGCTGCTTTCCCTGGGTGCCCCCCTGCTCCCTGCCACCCCACAGCCTGCCCGGGCAGGGCTGGGGCCTCTAAGCCAAAGTCTCCTTGGGAGCTAACATATTATTGCCATCTTCATGTTCCTTTGCAGCCGACTCCAAAGAGGATGCGACCAAGTGGCTTTCAGGCCTGAAGATCTTGCACCAAGAGGCAATGCGTGCGTCCACGCCCACCATCATTGAGAGGTATGGGGGCTTTGGCTGCTCATGCGGGCCTGGACTGCACCTGCTGTCACTCTCCATTGGCAGCACAGGCTAAACGGAAGGCAGATGGGACATGGACTCATGGAGACTCATTGGGCATCCTGGGTTCAGTTGGTAACCAGGAGTGGTGCCTGCCTGTGCTGGCTTCCACATTGGTCTGATGGGTTGAGCCATCCGTTGCAGCTGAGATGGAGCTGCCTGTTGGGTTTGTGTTGGACGTGGGAGGAGCTTCCCTTCTGAAGGATGTGCTGACTGCCACACCCCTATGCATGAGGGAGGCACTCAGGCTTGTCCCTTCAGTGTCATGGGCATCTGGGTGGGATCACGGCCCAGCACTGCTTCCCCCTCTAGACCATAGTCCCCCACTATGCACCGTCTTTTCTTGCCAGCTTTTTTGCAGGTTACCAACTCTATCCAGGAGGAGTTGGTTTAAAGAAAGCTCTGCTTGGCTCCCACAGAGCCCTGCACCTGCTAGGATTAGTATCTGCATCCCAGGCTGCCCTGGTGGGAAGCTGCACACCCCTCCGTTCAGCTGTAGCTTCCCTTGTCTTCTCTGCCCAGAGCTTTCCCAGTCTAGCATACTGTTGCCTCACTTGCTGTCTTGTGTGTCTCTAATCTCTTGGCAGCTGGCTGAGGAAGCAGATTTATTCCGTGGATCAAACCAGGAGAAACAGGTAGGATTCGTCCATGCTTGCCGATTATCTTTTTGGACTTTGTTATGTTCATCCCTTGTACCCTCCAGGTGGGCCCTGGGGTACGCATTGTGGCAGGGAGGGTCCTCAAGAGGACAGATGGGTTCTGTCACGTATCAGGTGCTGGGTGCAGAGCTGGGGTTACTGGCAACAATGGGCTCTTCCCAGTGGAGTCTTTATTCTGGTAGAAAAGTCCAGCCTAGCCAGGATGTGTCTGCCCTGGGGCATCTGGGCCTTATCCCGTCTTTGAGCTGCTGCTATGTCCCAGGAATTAGCGATAAACGTGCTTACAGTCACAGAGGGGCTCAATGTGGAGTAGCCCAAGGTGCATCATGGCTGTGAGGGCCAGTGACCCTGTGTGGCAGAGCCTCTTTAAAAATAAAATTTAGGGCCCGGCATGGTGGCGCAAGTGGTTAAGGTCCTCGCCTAGCATGCCCAGGATCCCATATGGGCGCCAGTTCTAATCCCGGCAGCCCCGCTTCCCTTCCAGCTCCCTGCCTGTGGCCCGGGAAGGCAGTCGAGGACGGCCCAAAGCTTTGGGACCCTGCACCCGCGTGGGAGACCTGGAAGAGGCTCCTGGCTTCGGATCGGCATAGCATCGACCGTTGCGCTCACTTGGGGAGTGAAACATCGGATGGAAGATCTTCCTCTCTGTCTCTCCTCTCTGTATATCTGCCTTTCCAATGAAAAAATAATAAAAATAAATCTTTAAAAAAATAAAAATAAAATTTATTTCTATTGGAAAGTCAGATATACAGAGAGGAGGAGAGACAGAGAGGAAGATCTTCTGTTCAATGATTCACTCCCCAAGTGAGCGCAACAGCCGATGCTATGCTGATCCAAAGCCAGGAGCCTCCTCTGGGTCTCCCATGCAGGTGCAGGGTCCCAAATCTTTGGGCCGTCCTCAACTGTTTTCCCGGGCCACAAGCAGGAAGTTGGATGGAAAGTGGGGTGCTGGGACATGAACCAGTGTTCGTATGTGATCCCGGGCACATGCAAGCAAGGACCCCAGCTGCTAGGCTATTGTACTGGACCTGACAGTGCCTCTTAGAGAGACTCCCCACTGACACACTGAGGGCTGCCTTATTCTTTTTTTATAAGTTAGTTTGTTTGAAAGACTCACACAGAAGCAAACAAAGACCTTCCCTCTGCTGGTTCACTCCACGAATAGCCAAAGCCAGGAGCTCCATCCAGGTTTCCACGTAGGTGACAGGGAGTTGGACCATCTTCCGCTGCTTTCCCAGGTGTGTTACTGGGTAGCTGGATCTGAAATGGAATAGCCTAGACTTGGACCAGTGCTTGTAAGGGATGCCAGTGCTTGCAGACAGGGGCTTAGCTTGCTATACCACTGGCCTCAAGGTTTTACTCTTAAACAGTGATGCAGTTTTGGTTTTTCCTTAGGTGGGTTAAGTCCCCAAACTAGCTCCTCACTGACGGATCTAGAGGTATCTAGTCTCTTATGGCTGTAGATAATGCAGCTGGGACACTCAGAATGCCACCGATTCTGCCCTGGGCATGCCAGTGCTGCTGCTGCCAGTGGGGATGGCTGCAAAGGCAGAGCAGTCTCCAGCCCAGCGTGGTGGCTGGGGAGGTGGCCATGTCTGTGATGGTGGCCCTGGGAGAGCATCTGGTTCCTTCCTGTGATGTTGCCTTGGCTAAGCTGGTGGCTGGGACAGCTTTTCCTGGTGATGCTGGGCAGGCTTTTCTGCAGCCTTTGCTTTTTCTGAGGCGATGAACAGCCAAAGCGTGAATGCTCCGCGTCCGTCCCCGGCTCCGTGCAGCCCCCACTCTGATTTAGCTGTGAGGACAGCACGTGTGATGTGCGCAGTAAACCCCACCCCTTGCGGAGGGCCCCAGAGCCCGTCTGTCTCATGATGACCCTGCCTCCCTCCTCCCCCTCCCTCACGAGGGGTCCCTCACGTCCTGCACGGACCCTCACGTCCTGCACGGTGTCCTGTCTGCTCCACTGGTCCGTGGCCACCTTGTGTGCTGGTTCCCCTGTCACGTGCCCGCCATCTTGCCAAGCCTGCCTTGATAGTGTGAAAATCTTCTTTCACAAAAGGAGTTTTGACCACGGAGCCTTCCACCCAGCTACCAGCTTCTGCTTGGTTGAGGCCCCTCCTTTCCTGCTGCCCACGTAGGCAAACAGCAGAGTCATGGCAGCGGTGGCTGCTGGGGCCGCGGCAGCGAGGCGGCTGTGTAGTTGGTCCCAGTTGCCTCCTGTGGTGCTTGCTGTCGGCCACTCAGCCACTCCTGCACCTGTGTCCCCTGAGGACACCGGGGCACGGTGATGTGGAAGATCTTGGATGGCACGAGGGGGCTTGTAGCTTGTCATCAGGGCCTTGATGCTGCTGAGAGCTGGGGCCTCACAGAATCCTCTCTACCCCACTCGCATGTCCTCTTTTTTTTTTTTTAAAGATTTATTTTTATTATTTTTTTTACTGGAAAGGCGGATATACAGAGAGGAGAGACAGAGAGGAAGATCTTCCGTCCAATGAATCACTCCCCAAGTGAGCGCAACGGCCGATACTTTGCCAATCCGAAGCCAGGAGCCTCTTCCAGGTCTCCCACGCGGGTGCAGGGTCCCAAAGCTTTGGGCCGTCCTCGACTGCCTTCCCGGGCCACAAGCAGGGAGCTGGAAGGGAAGCGGGGCTGCCGGGATTAGAACTGGCGCCCATATGGGATCCTGGGCGTGCAAGGCGAGGACCTTTAACCACTGCGCCACCGTGCCGGCCCGTATGTCCTCTTTTAAAAACATCAGAGCTGGGGTAGGCATTTGGTGTAGTCATTAAGTAGCTGTTTGTGATGCCTCTGCCTCCTGTGGGAGGACCTGGGTTCAAATCCTGGCTCTGCCCATTTTCCCGATTTCCTGCTGATGCAGACACTCGGGGGCAAGTGGCGATGGCTCCGGTCTTGGAGGCCTGCAGCCCGTGTGCAGAGCTGCTGATGGTGCCATGCTGTGTTACTGCCACAAGACACCTGTAATTGCACTTTCTGTTTTTTTGGTATGTGGTTCTGTGGGGGAAGGGCAGTCTCCCCGTCTGCTTCCAGGACTTTCTCACCGAGAAGGGGGCTCTTTTTCCACTGAAAGCTACAGCTCTGTCTTTCTAATTTGATGACTCGTGTGTCTTCTTTATGTGTATGGCGTTTCCGTGTGACCTCGGCTCACTCAGTGTCCACTCTGTTGCAGCAGGAGCATGCTGGTCGTGTCTGTCCATGTCCCCGCCTGCGGCCTGGGGCTGTCCCCGCCTTCTGTGAGCCCCACTGCCCCACTTATTTCTTCCCCTCCTCGGCCCTGGCACCGGAGCAGATCCCTGGGAGCCCGCATGCATGGAATGTGCATGTCACTGTTTAAAATATATACTGATTTGAAAAGGCAGAGAAAAAAATCTTTCACCTGCTGGGTCACTCCGTAAATGGCTAATGGCTTCAACAGCTGAAGTTTGACCAGACTGAAGCCGGGAACCTGTAACTCCATCCGGGTCTTCTATACGTATGGCAGGGGCCCCTGTCGGGTGCCTGCCAGGCTACGTAGCAGGAGGCTGAATTGAAAGATGGAGTATGGGCCCGGCGCAGTGGCGCAGTGGTTAAGGTCCTCGCCTTGCACGCCCGGGATCCCATATGGGCGCCAGTTCTAATCCCGGCAGCCCCGCTTCCCTTCCAGCTCCCTGCCTGTGGCCTGGGAAAGCAGTCGAGGACGGCCCAAAGCTTTGGGACCCTGCACCCACGTGGGAGACCCGGAGGAGGCTCCTGGCTTCGGATCGGCATAGTATCGGCCCGTTGCGCTCACTTGGGGAGTGAATCATAGGACGGAAGATCTTCCTCTCTGTCTCTCCTCTCTGTATATCCGCCTTTCCAATAAAAAAATAATAAAAATAAATCTTTAAAAAAAAAAAAAAGAAAGAAAGATGGAGTAGTCGGGACGTGGGCTTCCCGAGTGGCGATGACACTTGCCACCACACGCCCCTGTGCACCTGCTCTTCTCTCAGCGCTGGCCGGGACGCGGGGAGGACTGAGCAGGGCCTCCCAGCAGGCAGCTGGGGGCCCAGTTAGCCCCTTGAGCACACACGGGCGTCATGGGCTGCTGGTCAGGAGTCTTGCTCATTAAAATGGCCTGGGCAGTATTGGCCACGTCTGTGCAGAGCGTTGCTGTACACATCCTGGTGGCTTCGTCCTACGCCTGGCCTGCGGCATGGAAAATTTTACACCTCCACTGGCTCAGATTCAGCGACTCGTGGGCGGGGCTTAGGAATCTACATTTTAGTGCAATCCCAGGCTGTCCAGGTGCTGCCTGGGTACTGGGGCTCTCCTGTCCATTTGGGGGCCAGCTAATCAGTAGCATTGTTTATTATCACCATGGTTCTGGTTAGGAGCTGGGGGTGCTGGAGGTGTTGGTCTGTCTAGCGTGAGGTTCATGGGGCTGGGTTAAAAGGGAAGGAGCTCTGATTTAGCGATGTCTGCCGTGGGAGAGGGAGGGGCTGGTGGTGGCCTGCAAGTGTGGGGTCATTTGGAATCATTCTACAACGGTTCTGAAACCAACAGAACTGAACTGAGTTGAGGCCTGGAGACTTGGCCTCAGCCTCTTCCGAGGCCACCGGCCAGAGCACCATGTGTGATGAGCGATTGTAGGAGAGTCGAGATGAGGTCTGATGGGACCCGCGTGCTGTGTGACCTTGGGGACTGAGTGAAAGGGCTTGCCTAAGGATACGGAAGGCACGGCCCCCATGCCAGGAGGAGCTCTGTGGCCCTAGCGTTGACCTCCAGGAGCGACCGTAGGGCCAGGTGCACAGGCACGCAGGGTCCCCACTGCTCCCTGGGTCCTGAGCAGCTTCTAGGGGTGGGATGGGTGCTTTGCCCAGCTGCAGCCTGGACCCCTGCAGGCATGCAAGGCTTCCCTTCCTCCTAGGATGAAGCCCACTCCAGACCCTGTCTCTGTTCTCTCTTTTTAATTACTTTAATTTATTTTTGTTACATAGTAATTCTCCCAAAATTAAAGGTGAGTGGTCACAAACAAAATAGCCATTTCTTAACTCCCCACCCCGGTAACAATTCCACCCCAGTTACAATACAATTAAAACAGCAATATTACATCAAATGGAAATTTTCTGAAATTTTTTTAAACTTAGCAGTTTATAGTATTCAAGCAAGATCTCTGGTCTCTCTTGCAGCCAGCCCCTGCTGCTCCTCGCTGCCCTCCTGCTGCGTCCCAGCTCTGCCCCGGCCAGGGGTGGGGCAGAAAGACCCTAGGGGAACACTCCCCATCCCCCAAAGGCTGCTGCCTGCAGGTGCTTGCCATGGCTCTGGGCATCTCCTGGATGAACCAAGCTGCTGGTGCCTGCCCCGCTGTGGCTGGGGCTGGGGAGCAGCTGGTTGGGAGGGCGGAAAGGGGTCAGTGGCATTCAGGGGTCCCCACTGGATAGTCCCATCTATCTCCCCCTGAGGCTGAGGGGGAAGCTGGGTCATTTGCTGCCTGCAGCCCGAGGCCGGTCCCTTTTGGACCACATCCTGCCAGACACTTGCCTCTCTGGCCACAAGGGCCGGAGCCCCACCCACCGCTCTCGCCCCTCCGTCCTGTTGTGGACAGGTGGGGGTGGGGCGTGTGAGTCTGGCACCCGACCTCCCAGAGCCTCAGTTTCCCCACCTAAGAGATGGAGGCAGTGGTTCTACTGAGACCTGTTGAAGGATTGAGTGTTCTGATAGGCCTGTGTGGGCCTGGAGGGATGCTCGGTGCCCATCAGCCTGGCACTGTCCCTGCTGCAGTTTGGGTGCCGTCCCCTTGGCTGGACTCCGTTCTCCCCTCTGTTTGCATGAGTCTTGTTGAAGCCTGGTACCAAGAAGGCACACTTGTCCTGGTTGTGTGACTATGATATTTGAAATTTGATTCTGATCAGATTGTGTTGCTGTCCAGCTTTGACCTTGAGTAAAATGTGCCCCATAGCCTCTGGCCTTGGCCATTGTGAACCCTGGCTGGAGGGCAGGCTTGGCATGGGGTGCAGGTGGCATTGCCTCTTGACACCTCAGGCTAACCCTGCACCTGATAGGTGTCCAAGCATGGTGGCCGCGGCTCTTCTGCTCATCTCCAGCCTTTGGTGACCTCCCCTTGCTTTGAACCCTATGGCATCAGTAGCCCGAGGTCCTCTGGCCATCTGACCCCAAATCCTGCTCAGCCCTGCCTCCCATGTGACCCACAGTCGGGGCCTGTCCATGTACCAGGTGCCTCCTCCCTGTGGGCCTTTTTTGGTTAGCACCTCTGGACAGGTGTCAGTGGGCTTTCTCTGGGTGTGGGAATGGTGGGGGGCTGATATCAGTGTCGCTGCACCCCCTGTCCCAGCCCCCGAGGCTGACGGACCTGAATTTTCTCTTTGACAGCGTCAGCCTCCGGGAGCTGAAAGCCATCCTCCCGCTGGTCAACTTCAAAGTGAGCAGTGCCAAATTCCTCAAAGACAAGTTTGTGGTGAGTTGTGTGGGCTCAGCCTGGGAACTGCAGGGTCTGGGGCCACCCACAGCTCCTCCCGCAGACACAGGTGGCGTGGAAAAGGGCTCCTGAGAGAGTGCTGGGCCTCTGGAGTGTTTCAGTCTCAGGCCGGCTCTGCCGAGTGGCCAGACTCGGGCAGGCTGAGCTCTCTCATTCCCCTTCCGGTCTTCCAGTTGGGGTGCTCACGCTGCTGGCAGAGGAAGCAGCAGAGCCACTCCCGGAATGACCAGGTGGAGAGCGGCAGCCAGGGGGATCCCGCATGGCAGGGGACAGAGATGGGGAGGCCTCTGCTGCATGGAGCCGGGCCTTCTGAAGGTGACAACTCGTGTGGCTTCAGGGAGACCCTCAGGGTGGTGCAGAGATGCTGAGTGTCTGCAGGGGTCCCATGAACTGCCCAGCACCATGAGGCTCAGGCCATGGCTGGATTGGAGCTGAGCTCTGTCAGACAGCAAAGCCTTGGCCACATTGTCTCCTTTGGTTGTCTTTAAGCAAGGTGGTGTGCTTACCCTGCACGTGTGCCTGGATCTGGAAGTCAAGAGTAAGTTTTCTGGCCTCCAAAGCAGGGAGTTGGTCATTGTGGTTCTTGGAAACCTGGCTGCGACCCTCCGCCTTCTGGGCTCAGGAATGGATGGTTTATTCACACCCTGGCAGGAGAATCAGAACGCTGTGTCCCATGCAGGTTGCAGGCACCGCAGTGTGGGTGTAGCCGGTGTCACAGCGAGAAGGTTCTGTTTGTGTAAGCAGTGAGCAGCGCTCTCCCGGTGGGCATGACAAGTTATGTGGTCACTCTTTCTGTTCACAGGAAATAGGCACGCACAAAGATGAGCTCAGCTTCGAGCAGTTCCATCTCTTCTATAAAAAGCTGATGTTTGAGCAGCAGAAATCGGTAAGAGTGAATGTCCAGAGGGTGTTTCCGGTTTCCCTGTGTCCCAGGATGCCTGGGAAGCCCCTACCTGCCAAGGAAATGCAGAATGGGAGAGAGAGCAAAGTGGCTATGGCTCTTCAGAGCTGTAATGGGATGGCACGGATTTTCCCGCTGGCACTGCCCATGGGTGGGCTTGGAGTTTTAATCTTAAAATGAGTGCAACTGACGGTAAGGTTTAATCTTATTCTAGAAGAAAATTTGGCAAATTATTGATAGCTGTAATTTTTGGGCTGAAGGATTATGTGTGTGTGTGTGTTTTTTTTTATGTGTTTAGATTCATATTTTTTATTTTTTAAAAATTAAAATAATAGGGGCAGATTCTGGGCTGGTGGGTGAGATGCTGTTAAGATACTTCTCGGCCCCAGGGTTTGGAGCCCAGCTTCTTGCTCATGCAGAGCCTGGAAGCCAGCAGTGGTGGCTCACAACACTGTCACCCACGTGGGGGACGTGAATTAAGTTCCCAGCTCTGACCCGGCCCAGTTCCAGCTGTTGTAAGCCTTTGGGTCTGTCTCTCTAAGAAATAGACGCTCTTAAAAGAGAGAGACATGTGTGCTTTGACCTGGAAGCAGGGCATCTCTTTGCCAAAGGGAAAGCCTTAGAGCCTCATGGTTTGCCCAGTTTGTTGACCTGTGCTGACAAAACGTAGGTAAGCCACTGACTGGACGCCCCAGTGCAGCATGTCCCATGCCACATGCCACAGCCAGGTCAAGTGCTTGAGTTGGTTCTGTTGATCTGGTAGGATCATGCAAGGATCAGGGTTGAATTTGTTAGAGAATACACATTCTTCCTTTGTGTGTTTAAGCACAGGGAGAAAGACTGGGAGGAGCCCCAGCTTACTCTCAGCACTGATGAATGCGTGTGCTCTTGATGTGTTCTAAGTAGCAGGCATACAGAAGAGATTTTCTGTACCATGTACCAAGAACACGGGTGGGCTGCAGGGGGCATCCCAGGGACAGCTGGGCGGGAGAAGGGCGTATGGGGGCTTGGAGCAAAATGGATTGAGTTTGGCCAATGCTTACTTCTTGCCTCAGGCTGCCCCTCTGTGTGATGGAGGTGGTGATACTGGCCTGCCTGGCACTGGGAAACCCTGGAGAGAGCTTACAGGAGCTTGTAGGTGATGCGTGGCAATGGCCAGGAGTCGCTGGTGAACTGCCTTTGCTGGCCAGGACCACTGGCAGAGAGCACTTGATGGGTCGCTGTTGGCCGTGGAGCTTGAGATGGATCTGAAGCAGAGGAATGGGAGGAGTGGGTTGGGAAGGCCGCCCTGAGGAAGGTGCACACTTGTGCTGCAGTGTTCCCTTGCCCATATAATGCTTACTCGCGGGTCTCCAGATGGAGGCGGGTCACACATAGGGATCGGGAGAACTGCGCTCCAGCCTCGGCTTGACCTCCAACTGACCAAGCAATGTTGGGAAAGTCGGCCTCTCCCTTCTCTGCCTTCTCTGTAAAGTTGAAAGCATTGTGTCAGGTCAGGGGTTACAAAACTTGTAAAACTGCATGTCCCTACTCCTCCTGGTAAGACCCCAACAACAACAGCAAAGCCAACTTCTTGAGAGCCAGTCACAGCACTTTGATGGTTCAAAATCTGATCTTTGTTGGTGGTCGGTTCATACTGGAGGACCGTAAAGATGATTTGGTGACGGCGTGCTTATGAAATCCAGGGTAGTGGCAGCTCCTGTCTCCCGAGTAATTGCAAGTGATAGTTAAAGCAGTTTTGTTGTTGTTACCTTTGTCAGAGAGAGCAAGCATGCGAGAGTGGGAGCACCTCCCACCTGCTGGCTCCCCTAAGGCTGGTCACAGTGGAGGCTGGACCGGCTGCAGCCTGGAGCCTGGGACCTCCATCCGGGTCTCTCACACGGAAGGCAGCGCAGCAGCCCCTTGAGCCATCACCCGCTGCCTCCAGGGTGTGCGATGGCTGGAGTTGGGAGTGGGGCACGCTGGAGCGGCTGGGTCTTAATTGCATTAATAGTTTGCTTTGAATTTCAATACGCATTCCCGTCAGATGGCAGCTGGAGCTTGTGGATAGTCTCTGCAGCCCAGGGCTCCTTTGCGCACAAGAAGTGTTTCAACCTGTACTTTTTATGTTGGTGGTGATGGTGGACGAGGGGTGGTGTGTGTGTGTGTGTGTGTGTGTGTGTGTGTTTAGGTAAATCTGAGGCAGAGTTTTTCAGGATTCCTGAACCCTGGGCACCCTCAACTGCCACCCCCTGGTGGCTGGAATATGACATTGCACTTGATGCTGGTTGTAGTAAGTGTGTGGATTTAAAATCAGCTGCCGGCAGGTAAAACTTGGCCAGATGTATATTCAAATTCGGATATTTGGGTGCTCATGAAAACGTTGACCTGCAGCTGTGAGAGGGAGCCTCTCCCTTAGCCTCCTCCCCCACCACACTGTTGATATCGCCTGTCCCGGGGCCACAGGCTGCTGACTAACCCCCAGCACGCGAAGGCCCAGCTCCCCGGCCCGCCCATGGCGGAGTGGAGTTCTGTGGCTTGCATGTGAGTGACAGAATAGCTGCCGGTCACCTGGACAGTGTCCGTCGTCCTGGCCATCATGTCACTGACTGTGCTCCTTAACTAGCACCTGCCCTGACCCGGGCTGCCAGCGCAGGGGGAGCCTGGTGGCAGGGGTGACACTGCGTCAGGATGCCAGGGCCACGAGGTGACTCATGCCGGATCTGCCTGTCCAGGGAGAGACCCTTCAGGCTGCTGAGATGCTGCATGGTTTCCAGCTTGAGGTTGCCGGTTCCCCCTGGTGTCCAGCCACCTGCCTGCCTTGTTTCTTATCCAGCTGCCTGCTAAGGGTCTGGGAAGGTGGTAGAAGATGGTCCAAGTGCCCAGGCCCCCTGTGCCTTAAAGGGGACCCATAAGAAACTCTGGGCTCCTGTTTTCAGCTTGGCTCAGCTCCCCGATTACAGCCATCTGAGGAGTGAACCAGTTGGGTGGAAGATCTCTCTCTCCTCTGACTTTCAAATAAGTAAAAATAAATCTTTAAAAAGGTATGCTGTTTTACCAGAAATAGATGAGGTATGTGTGGTTTCACGTGCAGAGTGCATACATGTATGGTACATCTGTGTGTGTCTTTGTGCCGATGAGCAAGAGGTGGTCAGAGGGGAAACTGGGAGGAGTGCTTCCTGGCGCCCCCTTGTGGAGAAGCGTCTTCATTACATCAACGGTCCACCAAGAGTAGGGTGGCGATGTCCAGCGGTTTTTGTTTTGTTTTGTTTTTAAAATTTATTTTTCATGATAGTTATTAGGGTGATATGGGTCAAGGGCTATAGGAAGGTGGGTGAGGTCACCATTTCCACTTTCTTTTTTTCTTTCCTGTATCTGGGAGAAGGGGCAGAGGACAAGCAGAGAGGCCACACCCAGCCTCCCAAATGCCCTGCACCCTGGGATGGAGGACAGCCACCCCACACCACCCCAGGGTCCCCGATGTGGAGCATGCTCAAGGATCCTGCTCAAGAGGCCTCGGTAGTTCAACAGTTGGCAGTTACTGCCCACCTCACCACTCCAAGCATGGCGAAATCACTGGTTGACATAGTCCAGTGTTTAGTTCTTGAATTCGGAGCTTAGAAAGACCTCTGCTGCTGCAGTGAGGATCCGAGTGTGGGGACTGCAGATGCTGGACCGGGCGTTCTCAGTGGCCGTGTCCATCGGGCGGTGGTTTGAGTGCGACTGGGCAGAGTCGGATGGCATATGGGTACATGCTTTGCCAGGCCCTTTCCCTCCTGGGAACAGTCCTTATGGAGATGCCGTGTGTGGGGGGATGCCAAGGGCGGGAAGTGGAAAGCCTGCAACAGAAGCACGAGTGTGAGGCTTAGGTGTACTGCAAAGTCATTGAAGGCACGGGCATATCGTGGGGGGAGCCGACCAGTGTCCTGGAGTGACCTCACATCAGCAGCAGGGTCCCAGGCAGGGGTGTCCCTGCCTTTGGCTTCCTGGGTTTCCGTCACTCACGTTAGCCTGTCTCTAGTGGACACAGATGGCGGCCGCGATGACCCGGCTGCCGAGGTTGTCCCGTTGCGTGGTGGGTTGGCTTGTATCATGGTCTTACTTTGATGCATCTCATCTCTCTTCTGTTTCAGATCCTTGATGAGTTCAAGAAGGATTCCTCCGTGTTCATCCTGGGGTGAGGGACGTCTTGTGGGGTGGTTGTGCCTGGTGCTGTGCCGGGCACTGCTGTCCTGTGTGTGGGTCTCGGGGTGGGGCCGCCTGCGAGTGGTTGTTGGTGATGTTGGGGCTGGGGTGCCCTCCCGGGGACTCCCACATCTGCCATAGTGATCACAGTGGACAGTAGGGGGAGCGGTGTGGGGAGTATGGAAGCCTGGTGCCTCAGAGATGGACTTGGAGCCAAAGACAGGCTATGGTGGGCAGTGTTCATGGCCGTGTCGTTCCTGGTAAAGCAGATACTGCTGAGTTGACGTGAGTTGGAGCCTGTAACATGCACAACACACATCGTAAATAGTGATTCAGTTACAGTAGGTGCTGCGGGCTTTGTCAGAACCTTAGCCGTGCGTCAGAATCCCCTGATCCAAGTTCGTAGGGTGTTTCCTGCCAGCCAAGACTGTCTGATGGGGGAAACACTTTCTACGGAGTTAATGACATTGAGAGTGGTCTGTGGCCTGTTCCCTGTGTCCCTCTCTGAGCCCGGGCCCAGGCGGACCCAGGGACCCAAGGACACTGCGGTGGCCCCGGTTTGGCCTTGTGTTTTTGCAAAAGGCTGACAAGATCTGGTAAGGCTTGGAGGGGATTCAGGTGCAAAGAGACCTGTCCCCCAGCCTCTGCACTCCCCAGGACCACCTAAGGAGCTGCCAGTGTGAGGTCTGGCTGGCCTCTGCTTCCCCGGGCTGGGGTCCTGCCCTTGCTTGGGGTGGGGCAGAGGTTTCCCACCCAGCCAGGGAGAGCTCACCCCTTACTGGTACCGCCCACACCTCAGTGTGTTCAGGGGCCTCATATGGTGCCCAGCCGTCATGGGGCCCTGTCAAACCTGGGAGGTAGCCGTAGCTCCTGCTCTGGGGGCTCCCCTGCAGTCCTGTCCCCCCCGTTCCTTTGCAGGTGGGAATGCCCTAAACCCCTCCTGGTTCACAACTTCCTTCCCTGATGTTTCTCTGCTGTTTGTCCCATAAGCTGCCCTGGACCTCCAGCTGGGACTCTGGGACCCTTTCTGCCGCTCCCTCATGGCCCCCTACTCCTTGTCTCTCTGCACTGCATCTCCACTGCCCTGACCCTCTCAGAACTCACAGCATGGGACGCCCCGGGAGTAGCTCTGGGCAGATTCCCGGGCCCGTCCCTGCCCGGTGCCAGTGTGGGGAGCTGTGGGTGATGGTACCCCTCTGAATGCCCTCCCTTCCCCCGAGGCAGGAACACAGACCGGCCTGATGCCTCTGCGGTCCACCTGCACGACTTCCAGCGCTTTCTCTTGCATGAGCAGCAGGTAAGAAGGGAGTGGGGGCTGCGGGGATGGAGGATGCAGAGGAGTTTCTGGGACCCGTGCTCGCCCGGCCATCTGCATCATGGGACGGTTCATTTTGCTGTCTTCAGCTGTGGCCTCAGAACAGTGTAGAACATTCCAGGCTGGGTGGAGGCTGAGGGCTGACCCCAGCTTCCCCAGCAGGTTCTCGGGGGTCCCTTCCCAGGGTGTTGACCCAGCCTGCCAGCTCCTTGGAGGTGAACTGGCACCGCTCAGACATCTAGGGATGCTCCGGTTGTGACCATGTAGGGACGCTCCTGGCTCCGCATCAGTGTCCGGCCACCAGGGCCGAGGCCACGGAGGCCACCGGAAGCGTTTCCTCCTGGACTGGCAGCCATGTGCACCCAGCTCCGTCCTCTTTCAACAGGGTTGGAGCTCTCCACGGTCAGAGCCCAGGGAGCAGAGAGGATGGTGCTGCTTGGGTTGTGTGTGCGCACGCTCATGCTCGTGTGGATAGTCATGCATGGACACACACATACATGTACACAGCCACGGTCACACGGATAGTCACACGCATGTGTGCACGCCAAGCACATGTTCATTCACGAGCAACATGATGCACGCATGTGTGCACACGAGCACACGTGTCTGGGTAGTCCCTTATGTGTGTGCATGCATGTGTGCACATGAGCACATGTGTCTGGGTAGTCCCTTATGTGTGTGCATGCATGTGTACACATGAGCACACGCGTGTTCACTCAGGCTCACACACACAATTTTTGTGTCCATACAGTCATGTTTTTTCCCCCCTTAGTTTCTTGGAGTTTTAAAAAAATAACTCAAAGAGTGGTTTTAGATTCACAGCAAAACTCACTTCAGCTTCTTTTTCCACGGTTTTACTGTAGAACATCTCTCACACAGAGCACTTCAGCTCAAAGTGAAGCAGAAACGTGGGTTTTCTGGGCCCAGGCACTCTGGAAATGAATGCAGTTTCTAGAGACAGTCCCAACCTTGTCCCCGCTCATTTGCGGGACGTTCGGTCGCAGGCAAGCACTGACGTAGAAGCGGAAGCCATACTTGCACGGTTCATGTCGCCAGCATAGCGTGTACTGTCAGGTCACAAGGCAGGGCATCCGTGGAGGCTGGGGGAGGTGAGTGAATGGGGTCAGGCGAGTCGCTTGGCCAGCCAGAAGCTGAAGGAGAGGACTAAAGGGTATAAGTTAATGTTCTTGGGCACAATGACATGCAGGAGTCACGGGCAGCAGGGAGAGACCAAGCCTGGAATAGCCACCTGGTAGGCTTGCCTGTCGATGTAGCTGTAGCCCCACCTAGTGGTGATCAGTTTTATTGCAAGGAGATTGGCAAGTGTCCGCGATCCGGCGCCTTTGCTGGGCCACCCTTGGAGAGCCGGCTTGTGGGGCCACCTAGCAGTGGGCAGCCTGGGGCTCCTGTGTGGGGTGTGTTTGGGGTGATGAATATTTACCTTATGACTGCTGTGCGCCAGGGTGCGGGAGCTTTCCTGGAGGGTTACATTATTTCCTGCCTGCCCATTTTTAATGGAAATGAAGGCTTACAGCTCATTTAATTTTCCCTTAGGGCATGAGTTAAAACTAAACAAACAAACAAAAAAAAAACACTCTAAAGCCATGGATGAGGGGTGTCATGGTAGACAGGGGGTGAAAGGTCAGTCTGAGGACCAGTCTATTGGATTACCTAATGGCTGGGAGCTCTGGTTTTCCCATTGGTGTGACCCAGAAAATGACACCAAGCCCCCGGGTTGTGCAGGGCGCATTCAGGTGGAGCCACTGCGTGAGCAGAGCTGAGCACACCGTGGGGCTGCTGGGAGGCGGTGTAGCCTGTGGCCCTGAGTCATTGTTGAGCGAGACTGTGGGTGCCTCCCTGCAAGACCCCACGCCAAGCAGCTGCACCCCTTACCTGCTAGCATGGCAAGGTTTTCACCTCATTTGGGGAGAAAGTTTCTACCGAGCTGGTGCAGCTCCAGGTGCTGCTGTGGTATTCCTTGGAGTTTCAGGGCAGGGAAACCCCAGGGGTTTTATGGTCATGTTAATTGCTGTTTGGTACCTGAGGGCGTGGCTTGGCTGGCCCCTTAAAGAGGCCGTGAGATGTGACTTTTGATGTATTTGGAACTCTCGCCCATTCCTACGTGATCCTGCGTGATCTCTGTGATGTCCCTGACCCTCTGTGTCATTGTCACTAAGCTATCAGTGGCAACGAGTGACCCACAGAGCTACTATGGTCATCCAGGTAGACTGGGGAAGTTGGGTGAGTCCACCCCAGCAGGTGGCGTGACCCCTGCTGCTTCATGCTAGATTCATGTGAAAAGCCAGCAGGGGCAGCAGCTGGCCACCCACAGCCCACAGGCCAAATGCTTATTTTGCAGGTAACTTGTTCTCAGCTGTCTAGTTTGCCTGCTGACCCCGGGTGGCCCTCAGATCCTGAAGTGTGGATTTTCTGGCTGGACACAGAACACGCTGGCCACCCCAGGGGGAGGGCTGTGTGCGCCAAGAGGCCTCAGTCTGGACAACCTGGCTGTGACTGGGTGGGCCCGAGGGGTGAGGGTCCTTCCCTTTTGGTGACTTTTGGGCTTCTCTGTCCTGTGAAGGAGCTCTGGGCCCAAGACCTAAACAAGGTGCGCGAGCGGATGACCAAGTTCATTGACGATACGATGAGGGAGACGGCCGAGCCCTTCTTGTTTGTGGATGAGGTGAGTGGGCTGAGCTGCTTGGGGGCCCCGCCCGACCTGGGATTCCTGTCTGTCTCCACTCCACCCCAGCCCAGGTCACCTTTGCAGTTCTCTTCCGTGGGAGGATGTGGCTGTTCCGTGCTTGGCCGGGGAGGTCAGTCCTCCAGCAGCCAATGGCCTGGGTGCGTTTCTGACCTTTGCCACTAGAGGGCAACAGCCAGCAGGTTGAGAGCCATACAGGTGAAAGATTGAAGGATTGATGGGCGCCTGCCCATCAAATATAGGGTGGACCCCTTGTAGTTGACCCCGTGGTGCTTGCCTCCAGGCAGAATAGCGTAGCCCCCAGGGCACTGTAGCTTCTTGTTGATTGACTTAAATATTTAGTTATTTGCAAGAGTGAGAGTTACAAAGACGGCACTGCCAGCCCTTGGTTCACTGCCCCCAGATGCCCACGATGGCTGGAGGTCTCCTGGGAGGTAGAGGGGTTTGCAGTCCTGGTCTCTTGTGGGGGGAGGTGTTGCAGGAACTCGAGTTCTTGAGCCAGTGCCACTGTCTTCCAGGATTGGCATTTGACAGGGAACCGGAACTGGGTTTCTGACAGACTGCAGGTGTCTTAGCCGTTAGACCAGAAACTGCCCCCACCCTCTTTTTTTCTAAGGGGTGTAAGTGCTTGGACTGTTACCACCCACATGGGGGCCCCAGACGGAGCTTGTGGCCTTGGCTGGCCCAGCCCTGGCTGTTGTAGCAATGGAGAGTGATCCAGGGGATGGAAGATTCTTTCTCTTTCTCTCTAGTATGCTCCTATTTAAAAAAATAATGATTTTCCCCCCTGGGAATTGGGATGTGAAATTTCCCACCTTTTTGGAGTTGAATCTGGTTATGCTGTTGGGATGCATACTCATGTGCTGATAGGGCCCGTGGCAGTCTGAACCGCCATGGCAGCGATGTGGGTCATGGGACTGGAAGCTCCTCCCCTGCCCAGTCCCTTCCCTGGCCGCAGGTCAGCAGCCATCGGACCCCACCTCTCCTGTGTGTGACTTTCAGTTCCTCACGTACCTGTTCTCGCGAGAAAACAGCATCTGGGATGAGAAGTACGACGTGGTGGACATGCAGGATATGAACAACCCCTTGTCTCACTACTGGATCTCCTCGTCCCACAACACGTGAGTTCCATGACGGACGCTCCCGTGTGCTCGTCTGGAGGACTGTGCTAGACAGCGGGCACCACACTTCTCTGACTGGAATCTGTGGAACCTTCTGGAGGGGGCTTGGGGTACACTTTCCCCTCCCAGTTGACATGGCAATGAGAAGCCCCTCTCTGTAGCCCTGCAAAGCAAGTTGGCAAAGTTGCTTTGCACAATTTGGGCGTCCTGAAGAGAAGCAGTTCTGCTGGTCATCAGACTGCTGTTTGCAGATCATGTAGTGTGTGCTTGCCACCTACTGGGGGGACAGGCAGCGAGATGGGAACAACCTTACCTTCCTGCTCATGGCCTGGACATGTGCTGTCTCAGTGGTCACCCTAAATCTCAGGCGTTTGACTTGGCAACAGCCTTCCTTGAGTTGTCCTAGATGGGAAGATCTCTGGACCCCACCTGCTTCTCTCCCGACTCAGGTACCTCACTGGGGACCAGCTGCGAAGCGAGTCATCCACAGAAGCCTACATCCGCTGCCTGCGCATGGGCTGCCGTTGCATCGAATGTGAGTGGCCACATCCTGGCCGAGGCAATGCCATGCGTGAAACCTGGTGGTGGGCAGGCAGGGCAGGCCAGGACAGACAGAAGAGCCTGTCGCTTCTGCAGACAGCATGGAGCCCAGGACCTGCCGCGTGGTCCTCACGACAGAGCCCAGGGGTGCTTTGGTTCGGGGCCTGTCCCCATCTGACTGGGGCATCAGTGCCAAAGATAGTCTACTTGTCTTGAGAGTTCCGCACTTCCTCTGGAGCTGGTTCTAGAGGAGAATGCATCCGTGTCCCTGAGGACTAGTAACCATATATCCCATGTCACCTGCACGGCTGGGGTGACCCCAGTCTCACATCCTTTTTCTCCTATGGTCCAACATCTAGTTCCTCGATCTATAGTTCATAGTTACCCCACAGATGTCTGGGTTCATGCTTTGATTTGCTGCAATGCCTCTGCTGGGGGCTGAAGCTCTTGTCCCGTGGGAATGTTTAAGTGACATGTTGCAAAAGCGTCTCATTCACTCTTTACTGTGTGCACCTGCAGAGATGCAAGCCGAAATGAACAGGTGACATCAGACAATAAAACACACTGTAGTCACTTGTGGGGATGCTAGGTGTCACATGACGTAAGCCCACAGATAGCCACACGGGTGCAGGTGAGCCCCCATGTTGGTGGCCCTCTGGGTCCTGCTAGCTGAGCTGGTGTGGGGTGGGGCTGGCTGCAGTTTGGCCTGCTATTAGTGAACGTGAGCGGTGGAGTTGAGACTGCTGCTTTTCTGCCCTAGTGGACTGTTGGGACGGACCCGACGGAAAACCCATCATCTACCATGGCTGGACGCGGACCACCAAGATCAAGTTCGACGACGTCGTGCAGGCCATCAAAGACCACGCGTTTGTCACGTCCAGGTCAGTTGACAGGTTTCCTGCTGGCCTTTAAAGAAGGGCAGCTGGGATGGGGCGGGCAGGCAGATGGACAGACAGATGCTGCCCAGCAGCCAAGAGGTGTGAGCTGCATCCTAAGCCTCGGCTGAGCGTTGGTGCCCCACCCAGGTCGAGAGTGAAGGAGGCTGCCTGGGGCTCCTCACTGCCTCTCCTGTGCACCCCTGCATTCTCTACCTGAACCCCCGTTCTAGAGCCTACCCAGGGAGAAGGGCTGTCAAAAGTCCCTTTTTTCTGGAATTCCTCTTTGCTGCCCAGTCTTCTGGAGGCCTGTGGGATCCAAAGCATGTCTTAAGATGTGGCAGTGGGGATTGCAGGGACCTGCCAGGGTTGTGCTGTGGGATGAGTGTTTTGTGCTGTGTCTGGGGTGCTGTGGGTGTGTGGGAACTCGATGTGTCATTTGCATTGCACGTCTATGCCAGGCTGTCTCTTCCCCTGGTGGGAAAACTCTCCATCGGTGCCTGCTGTTTCTCTGCTTGGCAGCGTCCCAGCCCCTGTTAGTGCCCAGGAGGCACCGAAGGACGCCTGCTGGGGGTCGCCACTCCCTTGAGTCGGCTTTCTGGGAGCACAGGTGTTTGTGGCCGAGAGTTGGTCTTAGTGCACGGAACATGTCCTTGAACCTGTGCCTGGTGTTCTCATGTGCATTTTTCATGTGTATTGAAAGATCCCTTGTATGCAGGAATTTGAACGTTGTTTTACACCGAGATAAATTTCTATTAATGTTTTGAAGTCCCATTATACACATATGTAAATGATAAATATATACACATATGTGCAAATACAAAAATGTACAAACATATCTATGTTCAGTTTATACGTGCAAACATATATACCCATCTTCAAATGACATGCCAACAATATATGCACATGAACTCAAATGACAAATATCCCTAGAAATACACACGCATGCTCAAATGACGTGTCAATATTGGTGGGCTTGTGTTTGTGGAGTCGCCTGCTCTCCAGGACTTGAGTGTGTCTGAGGCTGTTGGCAGGTGCACAGGGTGCTGGGAAGTGTGTTATGTGGCTTGCAGGTGCCCACCGGGGTCGGGCCCAGTAACACCGTGTCGTCCCGTTGTAGTTCCTGTTACGTGGATGAGAGGCCCCTTGGCCATCTGAGGGCCAGATGTTTCCTTTCTGCACTTTTCCTTGGTGACTGCTGTTCATGATGGCCCCAGGCACGGGCCTGAGGGGCAGCACAGTGGGAGAAAACGCACATGTTGAGGTGGCCCTCGTCCCAGTGTACGTGGTGGCTGTGCATGTGTCATCAGTGAACACTGATGTTACCTTTAAGCAGAAACGGACGTGAAGCAGGGTTGGGAGTGGTGGAGGTGATGGCTGTGATGCCTGCATCCCGCCTTGGAGGGCCGGGATTGGAGTCCCAGCTCCCCTCCCACTTCCAGGTTCCTGCTGAGGCACAGCAGGTGGTGGCTCAAGGGCATGCGTCCCCCACCCATGCAGGGGAGTTGGATGCAGTTCTGCACTCCTGGCTTGGACCTGGCCCAGCCCTAGCTGTTGCAGACATTTGGGGGAGTGAGCCAGTGGGGGACTCTGCCCTTCAAGTAGATGAGTAATATATTGATGAGTTGCTGAAAATCTTGTGACTAGAGGAGTCGTTTGCTCATAGGAATTTGCTAATCATTGTTGGTCGCAACCTTGAGGGCTTAATACTGCAGGATAATGAGAACTGCCTGTATATGCCCAGCTGTAAGTGCTGTAGGAATACCCACAGGGTTACTTGTCTGAAAATATATATTTATATGCTTGTATATGAGTAACATACGGATATGCAATCAGTGCTTACGTATCAGTGTATATGCTCAACCTGCACATGCACAAAGTGCATTTAGCATCTGTACAAAGTAACAAAGGCACTGCCATGGTGGAGGTGCCAGAGGGAGAGTGGTGTCGGTGACACCAAGGGTCACACACACACACACAGGCACCGCAGGGCTTGGAGCTGGGGTGGGTGTTAGGAGGGTGACTGGAGAACAGGGCTTGGGCGGACCCAGCCAAGTTCCAGCCTTGTGGAATCCTGGGGCCTGCAGGCCTTGGTAGGGGACAGATGGGGTGCCTAGGTGGGTGCCTGCTGCCCGTGCCTGAGCCGCCGCTCTCCCTGCAGCTTCCCGGTGATCCTGTCCATCGAGGAGCACTGCAGTGTGGAGCAGCAGCGCCACATGGCCAAGGTGTTCAAGGAGGTGCTGGGCAACCTGCTGCTCACCAAGCCTACGGAGGCCAGCGCTGACCAGCTGCCCTCGCCCAACCAGCTGCGGGACAAGATCATCATCAAGGTAGGTGCCTGGGGCGCTGTGCCTCTGTGCTCAGGGCACCGGCTAACCCGGCCCTGGATCCCAGATCCACTCTCCCGAGCACCACAAGACTGCCCGATGACTCTGTGTCCTTGCAGCTCAGGATGACAGCAAAACCCTTCTCCCAAGCTTGCAGGGTGTGCCATGGGCAGACCCAGGGTCTTCAGGCCCTGCTCTGCCAGCTCCTCGGGCATGAGCTGTCAACTGGGGTGTCACAGCCACCCCCATTCCACCCCCCACTGAGAACCATGGTTAGAATGCAGGGGTGGGTGTGAACTTGCATGGGAAAAACCTGCATCTTTTAAAATCAGCCTGTGTGTAGACCTTGGCATCTCCTGCTGCTGTGGATGTTGGCAACGCCGCTGAGGGCTTTGTCACCGGCAGAAGCTGTGGGTGTTTCCAGAACATGTTTGTGGTTGTCACGACCGTCTTTCCTGGCCTGTCCTTGTCATCACGTCCGAGTACAGGAGCTTAGATACGCCTCTGGCGCTGATAAGGCATTAGGAGGCGAGTGCGTCTATGAATAATTGCAGATACTTCTATTTGATAGCCCCATAATCGTGTTTCAGTGTCACCGAGTCCCTTTGGGATTCCTTAGTCATTCACATTCCAGGAGGCATCGTCCGTAGTTCCCAGTGTGTACTTGGCCGTTGTCCCCTCTGGTGGCAGTGCTGGCGTTTCTGCTCCTCTGGGTCCAGCCTGCTGGAGGGTGCTGGGCAGCTGGCGTCTGCTTAGTGGGTATGCGCTGGTGCCCACGCGTGTCCCTGCCTCTGGGGATCTGGCCTGAGAATGGTCACAAGGCCTGTGGCGGAGGCTGGGGTCTGGCCTCTGGCCAGGGAGTCACTCTCTCCCCTCACTCTGTGTCTCACTGCTGGCTGGCTCAGCGCAGCTGGTGAACTGCAGGTCGTGGCGGGAAGGGGCAGGGCGGCTCTGTAGGATCCCTCCCGTAGGGGTGCCAGGCCTGTGCTGAGGGCTCCACTCTCACAGTCATGGCTCCCCATGGCTCAGAGCCTCAGCACCCTGGGCAGCACGGGGCGCTCCCAGGAAGAGGGCAGGGCAGGGGTGCAGCCTCTTAGTGTTTGTGGTGTCTCTACCCTCTCTCTGGCTGGTAGGGCTTCAGGTGGCCCAGCTGTGTGTGTACTTCTGCCCACTTCCTTGTCCCAGCTCTTACCCTAAGATGGGGAGCACCCCTTTCCCGGCCCCCTCTCTCCTGTCTCCATGGGCTTCTGTGGTCTTTGCGTCCTGCCTTGGGAAAGGAGGCGGGAACAGCTTCTGCTGCCTCGTGCCTCTGAGACGGGCCCTGGCTGGGTGGCCTGAACTCTCCTGCCAGCTTTGTGTGGGTGCCGGCCAGCAGATCTCCCATCCCCCACCCACCCTGCAGGCATGGACAATGAGCCATGGAAGCCATATGGCTCCAACACTGTCACTTGGTCTCTTGCTGCCAAGGAAATAATTCAAGGCCAAGGTCCGTGACCTTGGGAGCCTGGTCCTCGGCCTGCACCATGTTCCTGATGGGGCCCTTAAGCCATCCTGGGCTGTTCACCTCCCAGACCTGTTGCTTTGCAGGAGCCAACAGGGGCTACCACATCCCTCTTTGACCAGTGATGTGACTGTCGCTCAGCTTGTCCCTCGGCTGAGGCCGCACAGCCGGGGAGGTAGTTGGCCGTGACTTCCAGGTCCGACTGCCGGCCTCAAGCCCCTTCTCTGAGGCGCAGCAGCCCTCGGTGTAGAAACATCATCCACAGTGGTGCTCAGACTCACCTCGGTGAGCGTTGTCGGCCCGGTCTTGGTGCGGCCACCGGCCTGCAGTCACACCGCCAATAACACAGCAACACAGCTGCTTGTACCCTGGTTTTCTTGCTCCAGATGCCCAGCGTGGCTTCCCCTGCCCTGCCCAGCCTCTGTGCCCCGGGGTGTGAGTGCTGGCCGCATGTGGGGACCCTTTATTTGCTGAGTGTTTCTGGAGCACTTTCTCTGGTGAGTGAGCTAAGTGGTGCCAGCACAGGAGATGCAGCAGGATGCCAAGCAAGATGCCCGCCTTGGGTTTGCACTCTTGTATGGGAACAAAGGAAACAAACTGATCCACCTGCGTAGGGCTGTGAAGATGGGAAAACCCAAGTGGGGATGGAGTGAGGGGGCCGCAACCTTGAGGCAGAGGGTGGGTCTGTTTTAGACATGGTGGGAAGGAAACCTACGATGAGGAGGCAGGCGGGCACACGAAGAGGGCATGTCGGGGCACTGGCCTTGGGGATTGCTGGCTACTGAGAAGTCCCGTGGCAGGTGGCCTGCGGCCTGGAGACCCTGGGATGCCGGTCCTGTGACTTCGGCAAAGTCTCTGGGTCTCAGCCGGGGAAGTCAAGGTGTGAGCCACTGCCCGGGGCTGGAGCCCAGAGGCCGGCAGCTGAGAAGCAGGGCAGGTGCCAAGGTGTCCTGCTCAAAGGGCCAGTGGCCAGTGCAAAGGCCCTGCGGTCGGGGAGATGCTGGTGCTGCTTGTCGGCCAGCCGGTGTGGATGGTCCCTTGCTGGCCATGCAGACCCCTGACTTTGGGTCTCGAGGGAGACAGCCACTGTCTTTCCCCTCCCCTCATTAGCATAAGAAGCTGGGCCCCCGGGGTGACGTGGACGTCAACATGGAGGACAAGAAGGACGAGCACAAGCAGCAGGGTGAACTGTACATGTGGGACTCCATTGACCAGGTGCGCTCCCCCAGCCCTGCCAGCTGCCTTTCTGGAAAGGTAGATATACAGAGAGATCTTCTGTCTGCTGGTTCACTCCCCGAGTGACCGCAGTGGCCGGAACTTGGCTGATCCGAAGTCAGGAGCCAGGATCCTCTTCCTTGCAGTGTCACCAGGCTTTGGGCCGTCTTCGACTGCTTTCCCAGGCCACAAGCAGGGAGCTGGGTGGGAGACACTTTCAGAGTTCTGAAAATGAACAAGAGAAGGCCAAAGCATGCTTTTTTTTCAAAGGGTGTGTTCCCAAAGGGTCAAGTTTAGTTGAAATCGTTGTGTCTAAAATTAGAGGGATATCTCCAGTGGGAGTTGAGGTGCTGTCAGTCTTGTGGGGGTGAGGGCGGATCGATGGGGCTGAGACACGGTAGGTTGGGGGGAAAACTGGCTGATCTCCCCTTCTAGAAGTGGACCCGCCACTACTGTGCCATCGCCGACGCCAAGCTGTCCTTCAGTGATGACATTGAGCAGGCTGTGGAGGAAGAGCCGCCCCAGGTAGGCGCAGACCCCGCTGGTCTGGTCCTGCTGGCTTGACTGGCGTCCCACAAGAGCCGTATCCAGAACTGTGTGTGGCTCCACGGCACTAAAAAGATTGCCTGTTTGGGTCCCCAGGGCCTGGCTGGCCGGCTGGCCCAGATGCTTGACCGGTCAGGTTCACGGCTCTTTGCTGCTCTCTGAGAGGTCCCCCTGGCCTTGGATCTGGGCTCCCGGGGCGTGCTCTTGCACTCTCACCCCACCCCTGCAGCTGCCTGGGGTGGACGCCCAGCGTGTCAGGACTCAGACTTCCTGAAGCACATGATTGAGGGCTGCGGGGATGGTCTCATGACGGGAGTGGGTTGCAGGCAAGTGGCTACAGCCCAAGAGCCCTCTTGTATGTGTGGCCTGTCCAGGATACGCCCCTCACGGAGCTGCATTTTGGGGAGAAATGGTTTCACAAGAAGGTGGAGAAGAGGATGAGTGCCGAGAAGCTGCTGCAGGAGTACTGCGCCGAGACGGGAGGCAAGGACGGCACGTTCCTGGTGCGCGAGAGCGAGACCTACCCCGACAAGTACACGCTGTCCTTCTGGTAAGCTGCGAGCCGGCCCGGCGGCCCAGGCCCTGAGCCCCAGGCCTCCTGGGGGAGTGAGCTGTGCTGGGCGCCCACCAGTGTGTACAGAGTTTGAAAAGTACCCGAAGACCCTGGGAATTGGGATGGAGGACATCTCGATGTGAAACAATTCATAAGCAACTAAAAAAAGTAGTCATAAGTGAAATGTGAGTTTTTAAGATGAGGGTCTGGTGCAGTGGACTAGAGGCTAAAGTCCTCGCCTTGCATGTGCTGGGATCCCATATGGGTGCTGGTTCTAAACCTGGTGGCCCAGCTTCCCATCCAGCTCTCTGCTTGTGGACTGGGAAAGCAGTTGTGGATGGCCCAAAGATTTGGGACCCTGCACCCGTGTGGGAGACCCAGAGGAGGCTCGGGCTCCTGGCTTCAGATCAGTGCAGCACTGGACATTGTGGCTGTTTGGGGAGTATATCAGTGGATGGAGGATCTTCCTCTCTGTCTCTCCTCCTCTTTGTATATTTGATTTTCCAATAAAAATAAAATAAATCTTTAAAAAAAAAAGAGATGAAGATGGGATGTGCCCCTGGGAGGTGTGGACCCACCCGCCTGCCCTCCTCCTGGTCCTGGAGTGTGGGGTGAAAGCCTGGTGGACTCCCTCAGCCTCGCTGCCGCCTCTGGCATCCAGGGGGCGGGGCAGAGGTGCCCTCGGAGAGCAGAGGTGGTGATGTCACGAGCTGACATTCGTCCATTCACTCATTCATCCTGACCTCCATCACTAAATGTATGGAGCTTGCTGTCGGCCAGGTAGAGTAACTCGGTAGTGAGCAGACGGTCTCTGGAAAAGTCGTCGTGCAAGGACTCTCAGTGCCCGGCACACGTCGGAGACACGTGGCCAAGCTAGTGTCCGCGTGGCGCGTGTGTGCCCCTGTGTTCTCTGGTGACTTCAGTCAGCAATAGTGTCGTGGTTCTTCTCCTGGGGCTTCCCTTGCAGGAAGGTGTGTCAGGGAGCTGGAGATGGTTGAAGGCGTAAGGAGACTGGGTTCTTTGCGAAGACCACTCCACCCCACACACAGGCCTGCGGCATGCCCAGGTCTTGCTTTCTATGGGGGCTTGTGGGATCCGTCTCCATGGAGACCCAGGGGTGACTGCATGCTTGCTGCTGTGCTCAGTGTGACAGAAAAAATGCCATGGATTGTGCAAGTTTGTGGTGGAGGGAGCTTCGGTAGGGTAGTGTTGGTGTGCGGGAACAGATGTGAAACTCGGAGAGAGGGCCTGATGCGATGCTGGGGACAGTGAGGGCTGACACAGCGGGAGAAGATGAGACCTGTGGCTGGAAGTCGGACCAGGAGCTCAGGAGTTACCGAGCCAGTGGCAATCCAGGCTCATCCTGCACATGGTCGTGGTCACTCCTGGGAGCCACTCTCCATCCAGAAGTTTCTGTTATCCTGGCGAAAGCACCAGACCCTGCAGACGCATTGAGTCTGTTCTGGGAGACCAGGTGGCTGCAGTGCAAGTCGTCCTCCGGGCCCTGGCCTGGGCTCTCTGCGTCCCAGGCACTGACGGCCCCCCTTTCCTTGCAGGCGATCCGGCCGCGTGCAACACTGCCTGATCCGCTCCACCGTGGAGGGCGGCACTAAGAAGTACTATCTGACTGACAACCTCAAGTTCACCAGCGTCTACGCGCTCATCCAGCACTACCGTGAAGCACACCTGCGCTGTGCCGAGTTCGAGCTGCAGCTCACCGACCCCGTGCCCAACCCTAACCCGCACGAGTCAAAGCCGTAAGTCTCTGGGGTCGAGGAGGGCAGAGGGAGGCACGCAGCCGGTGGTCAGGCCTGGCCGTCACAGGAGCTGGTCCTGGGGCTGCGCTGGGCCCCTGTTGCCCTGCAGGCGGGAGAGGATGGCGAGTAGCCGCACTCCTGTGCTTCCTTCCGACCTGTGTTCTTTCCTCCCTCCCCCTCCCTCCTTCCCTTCCTCCCTCTTTCTCTACCTCGCCCTGAGGTCTCCGGCTTTGGTTTTGGGCCCACGGCATGTTTCTGCTGCTTGGAGCTCTTTCCTTGTGTGTTGTGACCACAAACAAGGAAGAAGAGCTGGGAGGGGTCTCCTGCATGTCTTCATTCAGCAGAGGAGCTGTCAGAGTGTGCCTGGCCACAGGTCAGAGCATTCTGGAAGTAAAGTTAAAAAAAATAGGCCAAAATACACATTCTTGTGGAAGTCAGGCACTTCCCCAGTCCCTTTCAGCTCAATTCCCTTTTGGCTTTTCTTTTTAAAGTTATTTTGTTTTAAAGACAGAGTTATATAGAGAGACAGAGGGATGTCCCTTCCACGGGCTCACTCCCCAAATGGCTGCCATGGCTGGAGCTGGGCTGTTCTGAAACCAGGAGCTTCTTTTGGGTCTCCCATGTGGGCGCAGCAGCCCCAAGCACTCGGGTCTGCCTCTGCTGCTTTCCCAAGCACATCAGCAAGGAGCTGGATTGTAAACAGAGCAACCGGGACTGGACCCGGAGCCCATATGGGGTGCTGGTTCTGCAGGCAGAGGACTAGCCGCTGCACTGGCCTCTGGGTTCCCTTTTACGGCCTTTTCACATCTTAAGAAAACTGTTGCTCTGGCATCGTCGCCGGTGCTCCTGCCTCTCGTGGTCTGAGTGGCTGTGCTTGCAGGCTAGGGTAGCCAGGTGATGCTCAAAGCCAGCTTATCCTCTCGCTGCAGGCTGGTGCCCTAGGTCTCCTGGTGGGCTTTTCCAAACTTGCTATTCTCCATGATGGTTTTGTCTGGGGTTGCCCCTCTGAGGGTTTCAGGTTCTGGGTTCCTGGATCTGATGACCACCTCCCTGCTCTGTGGTGGTCCCTGTCCACCTAGAGGGCTCTCACCTGCCATGTCCGCTTGCCCCGGGCTGCAGGTGGTTCTATGGTGCGCTGAGCCGCGGGGAAGCCGAGGACATGCTCATGAGGATCCCGCGGGACGGCGCCTTCCTGATCCGCCGGCGGGAAGGCAGCGACTCCTACGCCATCACCTTCAGGTAGGAGGGACAGGTGGGGAGGCAAGGCTGCAGCTTCAGGTGGAGGCAGGCCCCGGGGTGTCCTCTCCCACAACCTGGACAGGCAGATAAGAACGGAAACAGCAGTCATGGCCCTGCAGCCCCTCTCAGGGCTGAAAGTCTGAATTCAGACTCTGGAACTTCTTGAGTGCCCATGACAGGTCCACACCTTCTCCCTGCTGGCTCACTGCCCAAGTGGATGCAGTGGCCAGCGCGAGGCCAGGAGCCCCAGGAACTCCAGCTGAGTCTCACACGTGGGTGGCAGAGACTCATGCACTTGAACCACCATCACTGCTTCCCAGGCGATTTGCAGGAGGTTGGCTCCGGAATGCAGTAGCTGGGATGTGAACTGGTACTCCACAGTGGGATGCTGGAACCGTCAAAGTGGCAAGCACAGTGCCACAACACTGGCACCTCTGTATCTTTTGAGAAATGTCTATCTAGACCCCTTTGCCTGTTCTTAAAATCAGGCAGTTTTCTTGTTACTTGAGCTCCTTGTATCCTTAGTGAATTAGTCCTCTCATATGTGGTTGGCGAAGGCGGGTTTTCTCTCTGCTCTGTTGGTTGTTTCCTTGGCTGTGCAGGCCCTTCTTGGGTTCGTCTGGTCCCATTTGCCTGTTTTTGCTCTTGTTGCAAAATCATTACCCAGGCCAGTGTCATGGGGCTTTCCCCCTGTTTTTTCCTAATAGCTGTACAGTTTCAGTGTTTGACTTTGGTCTTTGATCTGTTTTGAGTTGATGTTTGTACGCGGTGTGAAATGATGCTTGAACTTCCTTCTGCACGTGGATGGCTCCCGTCCACAGCACCCACAGTCCACAGCACCCGCCGTCCACAGCACCCGCGGTCCACAGCACCCTCTGTCCACAGCACCCGCGGTCCACAGCACCCTCAGTCCACAGCACCCGCTGTCCACAGCACCCGCGGTCCACAGCACCCGCGGTCCACAGCACCCTCTGTCCACAGCACCCTCTGTCCACAGCACCCCCGGTCCACAGCACCCGCCGTCCACAGCACCCGCAGTCTACAGCACCCGCGGTCCACAGCACCCGCGGTCCACAGCACCCTCTGTCCACACCACCCTCTGTCCACACCACCCTCTGTCCACACCACCCTCGGTCCACAGCACCCGCAGTCGATACCACCCGCGGTCCACAGCACCCTCTGTCCACAGTACCCGCAGTCCACAGCACCCTCTGTCCACAGCACCCTCAGTCCACAGTACCCTCAGTCCACAGCACCTGCGGCCCACAGCACCTGCGGCCCATACCACCCTCTGTCCACAGCACCCTCTGTCCACAGCACCCGCAGTCCACAGCACCCTCTGTCCACAGTACCCGCGGTCCACAGCACCCTCGGTCCACAGCACCCGCAGTCCACAGCACCCTCTGTCCACAGTACCCGCGGTCCACAGCACCCTCGGTCCACAGCACCCGCGGTCCACAGCACCTGCGGCCCACACCACCCTCTGTCCACAGCACCCTCTGTCCACACCACCCTCTGTCCACAGCACCCTGTGTCCACAGCACCCGCAGTCGATACCACCTGTCATTCAAGTACTGTCTGCAGCATTGTATGATCTCCAGTCGACTTCCACTTTCACTGAAAGTTGATTGACTGTGTGGATTTGTCTCTATTCTGTCTTGTTAATGTGTCTGTTTTTGTGCCATTACCATGCTGTACTGACTCCTGTAGTTTTTAGTATACTTTGAAGCCCCACAGTGCGATAGCTCTAATCTTGTTCATCTTATTCAAAGTTGGCTGTTTGAGGTGGACTTTATTATTTATTTAGGTAAGATTGTGTTAGCTGTCAACCTTAGACACTTGCTTTTTCAGTGCTTTAAAGATCTGGTTTGGTAGTTTTTTTCCTACGTCTTGTTTCAGAAGGATGAGGAAATTACATCCTTTTAGGGAAAAACTCGTCGTTGTGTTGGTTGGGCCACTGAAGACAGTTGAAGGGTTTGGGCCTCGGGTTGCAGATGCACGGCCTGACTTGTAGAGTTAATGTGTCTGAGTCAACATTTAACGAAACGAGTGGTGGTCACGTGTCAGTGAAATACCATAAAAACCAATGGTGGGCAGATTTGACCAGGGCCGTGGTTTGCAAATCCCTATGTTGCTTCCAGAGTTCTGTAGTTTGGGACGAGGGAAGGGCAACGTACCGAGGCACTCGGCACCATTTCTTCCTAGTTTTCTAGATCTCGCTTGGGTTCGCCCCCTCAGTGTTGCTGGTGCTCCACGGGAGGGCTGTGCTCTGTTGACTTACTTAGCCAGTCCCCGAGGGTTGGCATTACAAACTATTGCTCAGCTCTGAGGGACCACCAGCTCTCAGTGTCTCAGCCGCTGTGGTCTCCCCCTTCCAGGGCCAGGGGCAAAGTGAAGCATTGTCGCATCAACCGCGATGGCCGACACTTCGTGCTGGGGACCTCTGCCTACTTCGAGAGCCTCGTGGAGCTCGTCAGCTACTACGAAAAGCACACGCTGTACCGCAAGATGAGGCTGCGCTACCCCGTGACCCCCGAGCTGCTGGAACGCTACAACATGGTAGGAGGCTGGCAGCACAGAGGGCACAGGGAGGGGAATCAGACACAGAGAGCATGGATGGGAAGGTGGATGAGCAGATCCAGAGTGAGCGATGGCTGAGGACTATGAAAATTCCACTGCTGAGGGACACAGGTCACGGGCAGATGTCAGCCCGAAGGCTAGGGAGGAAGGAAGCTGCCGTGGCTGGGATGCAGTGAGCCCAGGTAGAGGGGAGTTACTAAGGAAGATGGCGAACAGGGGGCTGGGCTCTGTGGCCCCATGTGGAATCCTATTGGATGGATCCCCGCTTTGATTGCCAAGATTACCTGTCCCAGCCATGTGCCAAGAGCTGCTCTCGAGGCTGGGAACTCCAGGGTCCATGTCGGCTCCTGGGAGCCGTGGCTTCTCCAGGGTGTCCCATCACATAGTGGAGATGTTTGGGGGGCCATGTGATTTATAGGGATGCCCTGGACAGGGTAGGCACAACAGGACACTGCTGGGCGTGCGGCCCAGAGAAGGGAGCTGGACCCTGCAAGGCCCTAGGAGTGTGTGGGCCCAGAGAGATGGGAAGGGAAATGTGGCTCTGGGCAGGGGGAGTGGCCAGGAACAAGCCCTGAGCTGACAGGGACAGGAAGGTAGTGGGGGGCCAGTGCGGTGCCTGTGTCCATGCTGTGTGGCTACTTGCTCAGAGGCTGTTTGGGGACAGAGATGCCCAGTGGGCTAGGAGGCCGAGTGCATGCCTACAAGTGACTCAGCAGGCCTGGCTGCAGGGGTGGGAGGGCGCTGCTGTGATTAGGGGTGGTCTACACATTTGGGAGAGTGGCCATGTAGCTCCCTCTTGTCTGCCAGGAGTTGCAGGGGGTTGTAACTCCTCCACCAAAGAGGAGGCAAGCCCACACCCCCACGGCCCTTGCTCGAGGGACCGGTGTGCAAGCATGAACTGTCCATTCCTTTTCTTTTATTCTTTATGTTCTCTTCTTTCAGGAAAGAGACATCAACTCCCTTTATGATGTCAGCAGGATGTACGTGGATCCGAGTGAGATCAACCCCTCCATGGTACGAGCACCGTCAGGTCCCAGGGTGGCGCGGGTACGAGCACCGTCAGGTCCCAGGGTGGCGCGGGTCCCACCCCACCTGGTACCCCCATGGCTGCTTCCCCAGGGCCAGGGAACCGTCTGGAAAACACCCCCTTCCCTCCTTTCTTTCTTTGAGAAGATCTGATGATTGACAAGATGTTGACTAGTGGCAGGGAAAGCGTTAATGCAATGCTACTTAGATGCCTGCCACCTTCTTGCTAAATCCTGAGTCGCCTTTGGGCCACAGGGCTTCTGTCTCTTTCCTCATGTTTTGTATGCTGGCACAGCCTGTGGCACCTCTGCACCTGGCCAGTATAGCTCATACCCCTGCCGGCCCCTGACTCTGTTGGGTGTTCTCCTGCAGGGAGGGGTGGTCTATGCCTTAGCCCCCCTCCCTGCCTTGCTCTGGCTCAGTTCAGCGTGAACAGGTGGGGTGGGAAGAGCAAATTCCCTGTTGGGGGCACAGTCCTTGATTTGGAAGGAGCCCTGTTGGTGTGCTCTGTTGAAATTCAGAGGTGGAATTCTTCTTGTCTTTTTAGAATGTCTAATCCTCACCTAGTGCACATCTCCTTTGGCAGGACGTGAAGTGGGCAGGGCGAGTGCTGTGCACCAGAAGGTTCAGGGGTCTGAGGTGGGGGCAGAGCATTTACGGAGCAGGGAGGAGTCTTTGTGGTAAGGCGAGTGGTCCCGTCCCCCGCAGGCTTAACTTGCAAACTCGGGGGTCATGGCCGTGTCTGTCTTCCTGGTCGGCTGCTGTCCCTGGAGGTCAGTTGAAAGGGCCTGAGTCGTTTCCCCTCTGCGATGTAAGTTCCTGAAGCAGAAGCTGCCAACTCCGATGTCCATGCAGGCCAGCGGGCAGCAGGAGTGAGTGGAACTGTCTGGAGCTGCCGTACAGTCTCCAAGCTCTGCCCTGACCGTGACTGGCAGCTGCTGGCCATGGGCCTCCCGTTAGTCAGATGGCGGGGTCACCTAGAGAACACACACCACAGCTTGGGAGTGGCCTTAAGCAGTGATGCTGGTTGGCACCTGCCAAAAGGCCAGGACTCATCTTGGATTCTCAAGCCAGAAACCTCCCAGTCTTAAAAGTGGCAACGAGGCCAAGTTCAAGCAGACAGATTTTCCTGACTCCTCTGTGAGAGCTGTGCTGGGCCGGGAGACCTTGGGCAGACATGGCCCTGGACCAAGGACACAGAAGGAGCCCCGGCCTGGTCCCTCCAAACAGCAGCTCCTGCAGCCTGGCTGCGGCACCCCTCCTGGCCTCTGACCCGGGGTGAGATGTTGGCCTGCACCACCTCCCACACCTGCCTCTGTTGTCTTCTGTGTTGGCTTAGGTGCGATTCTCCCACTGTTCAGCTGAGCGAACTCTCAGGCTGCACTCCTAGGCGAGGCACAAACATGGCGATTTCAGCTTAGGAAGGAAATGGGCAGAGCTTGCAGAATGTTCTGGGTGTCTCGCCAGTGGGGCTGTTTCCGTAGCTCTGGCCGTTCGGGCCATTCCTTGTCTTGCTCTCTGGATGTATGCAGGCTTGCGTGCCTGAGCCTTGGGGTAACTTTTGCACTGATTCCTTTAGCTAAGTCCCCGGGACAGACAGAGGAGGATCGTGTAGGAATAACCTCAACTGTGTGCTCAGCTACGTCACTGGCAGTGCAACCCTAACCAACCTGCCAAACACGTCCTGTTTCGGTGCCCACTTTCCAGATGAGGAAATGGAGGCACATGGAGGCTGGATAATGGCTTGGGAGGAGTGAGGCTGGAGTTTGGAGTCAGGAGACCAAGGTGCTGTGCTGCATGGGGACTCAGTCCCTGGTGGGTGGCTTCTTTCTGTGTGGTTCATGAAGACCCTGCTTCCACCCCAGGGGCCGAGTCCTCCTCCTGAAGCTGTTACATGCCCCTCGCTCCAGCCTCTGGCCGTGGCTTCCCGGGGCCTCCGGGCCAGTACCTCTTGCTGTCAGACTGGAAGCAGGGCATGCTGGTTGAGTCTGCTTTGTTGCAGGTCAGGAAGAGACAGAGAGAGGCATTTCAGGTCACCTCTGGTTGGGCTTTCTCCCCCACCCCCCAGACCATCAGGAATTATCATAGTAACGGGGGTGCAGCCCCTGACCATCTGGTTGACCTGGGCTCTTGCCTCGGTTTCATGATCTGTCAGATGGGCATAATAACCCTGGTGTGAGGACTGAAGGACTGACAATCCCGTGATGTCAAAGTCGGGGTTTCCCTTAGTCCTGGTCTCTACTTGCCAGGCAGCAGGCTAACGCCAACTCACTAGGGAGACGTGTTCTCTTGAGGCAGTTCTGTCTGCCTTATGTCTGCCAACACTGACCCCTCCTGTGGGTTAAGTTCAAGGCGAGGGCCCTGGTTACCCTTCAAAATTGTTGGCATCCTGCAGAGAAAGATCAGGGACCAAGGGTGTGCCTTGGGGGAAAGTGGTGAGGCACCCAGCATGGCCAGGGAATGTCATTGCCCTTGAACTTGTGTTGTTGAGCAGAGGTAGTTGGGCTTAAGCTGAAAGGCATTACCGTTTATTTGTTGAAAAAAATTAAGCAGTATTAGGACGCTCCCAGAATTCCTTGGCCCTTACGGGGACGCCCCATCACCACCCTTTTTGGGTGCCTTTGCAGTGCCAATCTGTTTCCAGCAGATGGCGCTATTACATCGCTGCTGAAGCCTCTGCTCCCTGATGAGACCCAAGCGGAGCTGGTGAAGGCTGGGGTTCTCGGCCCTGCCTGACCTGTTCCTTCTTGTCTTCCCTGGAAGCCGCAGAGAACCGTGAAGGCTCTGTACGACTACAAAGCCAAGCAGAGTGACGAGCTGAGCTTCTGCCGCGGTGCCCTCATCCACAATGTCTCCAAGGAGCCTGGGGGCTGGTAAGGCTGGTTAGGGTAACTGGGCTGCCTGACCAGGGACTGGTGAACTTGGCTTGTCCCTTCCTGGAGATGCTTCTGCTACTGACTGCTTCTGCCCGCTGTGCTGGGCCGAGTTCCTGGGCATGTGGATCAGTAACAGTTGGCGTCACCGTGGTGCCATGTCAGGTGTCTGCTGGCATCCATCTCATGCCATGGCATGTCATAGATCTCTGAACTGGCAACAGCAGCTGCTGCCAATTGAGGTCTTAGCCTGTGCCAGGGTCACGGTTGGCTCCCTTGCTGAATGTTTATGCCAGCTGCATGGATGCAGCAATGAGGCTTTCCTCAGGCTGCAGGCTGGTGCAGCTGCTGACCTGTGCAGGGTTAGCCCAGTGCACAAGCCTGGGCATTATTGCAAACTAAAATTCTTACGCTATTGGTTAGCCCCTTGCTGTTGCTGCTGGCCCCATCTTACACTGGAGTAAGCCTTAGGGCAAAGCCACCTGAGTTCAGAGTTGCCTCTTCCTTTTATCTCTTTACCAGTAAGACCCCGGGCAAGCAGTATTGTGGGGTGAGAGCAGTGTGAACTGGCTGGTGACCGTGGGTCCAGGCAGCAACACGGGTGTCGTGAGGATGACTGGGCCTGGTGTGGAAACCTGAGCGGAGCTGGCCCTGGGCGTGTTTGTGTTCTGAGCGTTTCACTTGGGGTGACTCACTCCATGCACACTCGTCTCATGACCTGTACCTACGGAGCAGGACGCTGAGGCACGGAGGCCAGATGCCACTTGGGGACACCACAGGCTGAGGTTTGAGCTGACCCTCTCCACTCGGATGCCAGCTTCCTCCCCACGCTCCTGCAAGGGGCCCTGAATCAGGGCTTTTTTGTTTTTTAGACTTGATTCCATAGCTGGATTCCATGCCTGCTATTCCTGGAATAGCAGTGGTACCTCTATTAGCGGCAGCAGGGGCTTGGGGCTGCCCAGTTAGACTTTCCTGTTGATTTCTTCCTGCCCCTCCCCCCATAGCCCTTGGCACCCTTCTGCCTGGCCAGTTTGCCAACCATAGTGTTTGTACTCCACTCCACCCTCCCACCGCCTTTGCTCCCTGTGCACCTGTTTCTCGCTGGTGACCTGGCCAATGAGTGTGGCGCCCAGGAGCTTGCTCTAAAGTGTGCCAAACATGGAAGCCACATGCTTTCCCACAAATCTTCCAAATTTCCCAGACTCTCGACCCGAGATGCATTCAGAGGCTAGCAAGAGCCTCTTCTGCAGGGTCCACAGCGGCGTCTCATCCCAGCTAGGAAGTCTCTGAGAGCTGTACTGCCACCTAGTGGGCATTCTGCATGAGAAACCCCTTGGCTGCGACCACCTCCTGCGGCCGCCTGGCCACCTGGCCGCCTGGCCACCTGCCTTCCCCAGCGGCTCCAAGGCAGCACCTAAGGAGCAAAAGGAACTTTGCTGCCAAGTGTCGATTCAGGGCATGCGGTTTCCTTGCAGGTGGAAAGGGGACTACGGGACGCGGATCCAGCAGTACTTCCCGTCCAACTATGTGGAGGACATCTCCACATTCGATGTGGAGGAGATGGAAAAGCAGGTGAGTTCGTGCCCTCGGTCCCTGCCAGGCATGGCTTGGGGAAGCCCCTGGAACCACCCAACGCTGGATTTGTATGTGTGCTTGCTACATGTGGTCTCTGTGGAGCTCCCAAATAGGGCAGACGAGTGACAGGGAAATTGGGGCTGTCCTCAAACCGCTGCAGGTGAAAGTCGCCGTGACAAGCTAGTCACAGTTTAATCGGGTTGTGCTGAGCTGGAAGGCTTGGAATATGCAGCACAATTCCCACTGCAGCACAGTTCGCCCTTATTTGGAGCTGCCTGTAAATGAAACACGCCGAGTTTGGACAGCCAGATGCCCCAAGTGTGCTCAGCATGGATGAGTCTGCTCTGTGTGAGCCTGCGCCGGCCTCCTCTGGTCCAGCAGGTTCCAGGAAGGACCAGGGACAGCCCCCTCACACCAAAGCTGGCAGCTTTGTAATGAGGTCTCCAGATCCCAGGGCAATCTGGAAGGGCTCCCTGGAGGAAAGGGCATTTGAGACTTCAAAGTTAGAGTCCAACTGACAGAGAGAATGACAGCTGGGAGGAGCGGGTGTGTGTCCAGTGAGCTTGGCCTAAGCAAAGAAGTGCCTTCACCATGTCTGGGCTGCGTGGCTCTCCGCAGCACAGCCTGGCTTGGTGGCAGGGACTGGGTTAATGCCGATGATGGCTGCGTGTATGATCTTGTCGGCCCCCGGCCCCCTTCATCCTCGAGACCAAAATGCTGTTGTTTTTAGTGGGCCCTGGTGTGGTTCCAGTGCGGCGGGAGTTGGAGATGGGTCAGCTGGTGGGGACCTGGAAAACCTAAATATACCAGGTTGCATGCTTGCTGTGGGATTTACAAGGCCAGGGCTCCGGGAAGGCGGGGCCTCAGCTGCCTGCACCTGCACGCTGCTGGGTGCCCGTCGCCTGCACGCTCCATTATTCAGAGCTCTCCCCATGGACGCTTCCTGTAATGAAAATGCATTTTAAACAGTTCCACAGGCAGTGTCTGCTAAACGGTGTGCTTTGGAAAGCTGGTTGTCTTTTTATTATTCCCCTTACGACTGCCATGAGTTATGTCTTGTTTCTTCATAGATTATTGAAGACAATCCCTTAGGCGCGCTCTGCAGAGGAATCCTGGACCTCAATACCTATAACATTGGTATGTGCACACACGGCTGCCCCGGACCCGATCCCAGAACCGCCTAGGCAGGGCGGGTGGATGATGTGCCAGGTCCTGGCTCAAGTTGGGTCTTGGGGCTGGGCTAGTTCCTGATAGCCATGTTAACACTGTTGGTTGCTGGGACTCCATGGGCTCACCACTTCTCCTCTCTGGTTCTCAGCTTCCCAGGAGCTCTGCTGGGGATCCAGGGATCCGGAAACCCAGGGTGGGGGCAGAGGGCAATGAGGGCGTGCCCCGGCATGGTCTTATCCGGTAGGCTGTGGGTGTGAAGAGCAGAGGGCTTCATAGAACCACGAGCCGGCCTGCTTGTAAGGGCTCCAGGGCCAAGCAGAGCCGTTGTGGGCAGAAGGCCCCAGCAGCCTTTTCCGGGGGCAGCCCTTGTGGCTGGCACAGGCATCAGCGTTCCCTGCAGCCGTCAATTCATGAACCCATGCTGCCTCTGAGACAGCAGGGACGCCTGCGCCTGCTTCCCTGGCCTTGGGACCTTTTTCCTTCCATTACCAGCATTTTTCTTGCAGCGTTTATTCCCCCCGCCCCCGCCTGTCTACCCTTCCACAGTCCAGCTGAAGTGTCTGCTTAGGGCCCAACAGAGTCTCTGCAGTCTCTGCAGGTCAACAGAGGGGCGCAAGCCACCTGCCTGCACAGGGCTCGGGGGGTGAGTTGGGTCGCTCTCAGCCGTAGCCTTGCCACACTGGTCTGTGTGCCCGTTTGATCATGCTGCATGAGTGTCTCCTGGAAAGAAAAAAAAAAAGTACCTGCCGGGGGAGCAGATGCAAGAGTCCAATAGGAGATACTAAGCGGTGGTCCACTGGGAGCGTGCGCCCCTCTGAGGGCTCGGGAAGCCAGTCACATTGTCCCACCGAGTTTTCCATCTCTCAGCCTACATCCTGTGTTGCAGGCATTCCGGGCACACACAGGCCATCCCATGCCTGCTCCTGGCTTCCAGCTCCTGCTGGCATCCTCGGGGTCCCTGGCTTGTGCCTCCTCCCTCACACGCCGCCTCTGTGGTTTTCCTGTCTCAGGCCTCCCTCTCCTTTCCTTCACAAAGACAGGTTTACCCTAAGTCAGGGACTGTCTTGGGTTGCAAGCCTTCATTCAAGCATGTCTGCCAAGTCCTATTTTATAGACAAGGGTACAGTCACAGGTGCTGGGGACTTGGGCCCAGCCTGTGTGAGGACTCAGCTCGTGGGTGCCTGAAGCAGCAGGGTGTGTTGGAGTCCACACGCTGCTGATGTAACGGCGCCACCACAGTTGGTGCCAGCCGTGGATGTGGCGGCGGCCAACTGCTTTGGCTCCTAGAATAATGCCCTGACCTGCATCAGGCCTGCCCTTTGTGGCCTGCCCAGGGAGCTGATCAGGACTCTGGTTCTCTCCCAAAGTGAAAATCCCACAGGGCAAAAACCAGAAGCAGTTTGTGTTTGTCCTGGAGCCCAAAAAGCAGGGTGACCCCCCGGTGGAGTTCGCCACAGACAGGGTGGAGGAGCTCTTCGAGTGGTTTCAGAGCATTCGGGAGATCACCTGGAAGATAGACACCAAGGTAAGCCCTCTGCTCACCTGGGCACGGTGGGCATTCACAGGCCCCTGGCACTACGCTGAGGCTGTGAGCGGGTGGGGCAGGTGCACACAGTGGGAGCACCTCTCGCTCGCCCTGGCTCACTCTCAGTAGAGAGTGGGACCTGCATTTCTGGGACCTGGAACAGGCTGTGGGGACACAGCCAGCAAGACTGGTCCGTTCCTATGGAAGAACAGACGCTTCTCACACCCCGTCTTCTGAGTTAGCTGATGGGCAGGCTGTAGACAGGGAAGCCCTGGGCCCTGGGCGAGCAGCCAGCCTCACTGCAAACCTCCTGTTCTTGCCAGCACCTCACACCTCCTCCATGCACGTCCAGCCGAGGGCTGATGGCCCAATAAGGAAAACCCAAAGCAGTCATTCCCAGCAGGAAGGGAATGTGCTCCGTAAGAAAGGACTGGGTCTTGGCTGGCTGTGTCCATAGCCTGTTCCAGGACCTGGTGGCTGATGCTGTGTGGGAAGGAGGCAGGGCTGGGAGGAGGCACAGCAGGGGCTTGGAGCAGGCTTGAGGCTGGCCAGCTGTGGAGGTTGAGCTCACTGCAGCTCTGTGTCAGGTGTCAATTCACCCTCTTTCGGAGGGCGTGTGGGCTGGATGAAACGAGATCTCCTGGCAGACGGACCAGGTGTGTCACCTGAGGTTATGCATGCCCTTGCAATGACACTTTTGCTCCCCCATCTCAATCTTCTCACTGTTCCACACTGGCCTGTGGAAAGTGGTGGTCAGCAGTGGGGAAAGGGGTTAAGTGCATCCTTGCTTAGGTAGGGTTCAACGGGATGGTGGGTCCTCCTCCCAGGAGAAACGCCCCGAGTCTGTGGCCTGGGCCCAGCCTCAGAGAGAGAGAGCGCTCTGATCAGTGCAGTTGGAGAGGAGTGGCCTGTGTTTCCAGGACACAGGGCCTGTGCTGTGCACAGCAGTGGCTTTAGGCAAGGGAATTGGGAGCAGGTGTGAGTGTGGGGTTCCGGGGTGCTTGCCCCAGTGGCTGCAGCTGACGATGCCTACCCCCACACAGGAGAACAACATGAGGTACTGGGAGAAGAACCAGTCCATTGCCATCGAGCTGTCCGACTTGGTCGTCTATTGCAAGCCGACCAGCAAGACCAAGGACAACCTAGGTACCATCTCCCCAACCCATGGTGACAGCCCTGTGATCTTTGGAGTTTGGCACCAGCAGAGGGGGCAGAGGGGCAGAAACTTGTTGCTGAATGCGTCCCCAGGGCGGGTAGCCATGGCTGCTCAGCAGGCAGCTTAGTGTGTGTGTACAGAAGCCTGCAGATGACACATTGGTTCTCATGGGGCTCCCCCTTTGTGACTCCCAGGAGAGATGTGTTCATCTTCTGCTGGCCCCAGCTCTCCAGGCTCTGGTGATGCCCCTTGGGCTGGCCTGATGACCACCCCAATGTGAGCTCCTCAACCACGGCTGCAAGGTTCTGTCACCAAGTCCCACGTCCCAGAGCCTAGGGCCTAGATATCCTTGCAGTCATTAATGGGTCCTTCACTGAGGAATCAGTCTTCTAAACATCCTTCACCGTGTATCAAAGACCTTGGGCCTTTGCTCTTCACCTTCTACTTTCTGGGGGCCTTTGGAGCCCTCTGTGGGCTCGCAGGACACAGGCGTGCAGGAGCCGTGCCAACCCCAGTAGTTCACCAGGGAGAGGGGGCAGAAGTCAGGACTGGCCTCGATCAGGATCTGTTCCTCCATTGGAACATGCCAAGATGAAATAGGTCTCCACCTGCCCCCTGGTAGGGACCCTGGGCTGTTCCCTGCATCTTCCGCTGTCACCATGACCCCTGCCTGCTTCTTGATAAGCCCAGCCTGACCCCGAGGCCCTGGAGGTTTTCTTGTTCAAGGATGTTGGTAGTTTCAAACAAATGGCAGTATTTCTAGACTGAAACTCATCCCCTGTGTGCACTGGGGATCCTTGAGGGCAGCCGCCACTGCCATTACAACCCCTGGGTGTCGTGTCAGAGCAACGCCTGGTTTCCTTTAACCCTCAATGTGTGAGCAGCTGCTGTGTCAGCGTGAGCTGAGACCTAGGCTACACGGTGACCGGCTGCTCTGTGTGCAGAAAACCCTGATTTCCGGGAAATCCGCTCCTTCGTCGAGACGAAGGCTGACAGCATCGTGCGGCAGAAGCCCATCGACCTTCTGCGGTACAACCAGAAGGGTCTGACCCGCGTCTACCCCAAGGGCCAGCGGGTTGACTCCTCCAACTATGACCCCTTCCGCCTGTGGCTCTGCGGCTCCCAGATGGTGGCGCTCAACTTCCAGACTGCAGGCAAGCGAGGGCGGGGAGGTGTCATGGTCCCTCTGTCTCCTTTCCATCTCCCCTGCTTTCTCTCCTCTCTCTCCTCTTCCCGTCTCCCCTTTTCTCTCACATACTCCCCTCCTCCTTTTTCTCTTCTTTCTCCCTGTCCTCTCTCTCTCCTCCCTTCTCTGTCTCCTCTGCATCCCGTTCACAACGCCCTTCTTTCATTCCCGGTCCTCTCTCCCCCCTGACTCACAGCAGGGGTCTGCTTTGCTTTCCAGACAAGTACATGCAGATGAATCATGCCTTGTTTTCACTCAATGGGCGGACAGGCTATGTCCTACAGCCTGAGAGCATGCGGACTGAGAAGTACGACCCAATGCCCCCTGAGTCGCAGAGGAAGATCCTGATGACGGTCACTGTCAAGGTAGGCCCAGCTGTCCTGTAGACGCCCCAGTGTTTGCTTCAGGAAATGGGTGTGGGAGGATTTGCCCAAAGCTGTCTTGGTTCAGAGTACCTGTCTGACCAGAAGAACTGGGGACGTGGCCTCTAGGCCTCAGTGAAGAGGACTGCCCTTACCTTTGGCCAGCTTCACAGGCAAACAAAAGTTTGGAGATTATGCTGCTCCTTTCTGGAGCCCAGGTGACCCACACTCCATAAAGAGCCATTAGGAACAGGATGCCAGCCTCTGCTCCACCTGCCTGGTGCTGGGCAGCCCCACCTCATAGTCAGAGCTGGCCTTTCACTCCACCCTGCCCAGCACAGCACTGGGACCCAGCTGGGGAGCTTCCTTGAGTTTAGAACCTAAACAGAAGTTCCTGCCTCCTGCACTCAGCAGGTGCACCTCAGACAGCCCCACACTGTCGTCTGTGCCCTAGGTCCTGGGTGCCCGCCATCTCCCCAAGCTGTGCCGTAGCATCGCCTGTCCCTTCGTGGAGGTGGAAATCTGTGGAGCCGAATGTGACAACAACAAGTTTAAGACTACAGTCGTAAGTAAGTTGTCACTACTTGCTTTGTATTTGAAAGAAGCAGAATCACACGTGGGGAGGCTGTTTAGTTTTTTTTTTCCTTGAAAGATTTATTCACTTACTTGAAAGACTGTCACAGATGGAGGGAGACAGATTTTCCATCTTCCGGTTCACTTCCCAGATGGCTACATCAGGCCTGGGCCAGGCTGAAGCCAGGAGCTTCCTCTGGGTCTCCTGCATGGCTGCAGGGGCCTAAGCACTTGAGTCATCCTCCACCGTCTCTCCAGGTGCACAGCCAGGGAACTGGACCAGAAGTGGACCTTGAGCTGAGGCCTACATGGGCTGTCAGCATCAAGGGTGGGAGCTTAACTCTCTGTGCCACAATGCTGCCCCAGCAAAGAGTCATTTCATCAAACTGTCAGTCCTTGCCCTCTATGCCATGACTGTTCCACCTGGATATGTGTAATGAGTTGAAAGCTAAGAGGCAGAGGTGTAACGTGGGCACAGCTGACCCAATCCAGAGGACTTAGCCCATGCTGGACCCCTTTACCTCTGCAGGGGCTTGAGGACTGCTGAAGCCCCAGGACCCCTGTGTCTGGCAGAGACAGCACAGAGCACAGCGCTCCACTGGTCTGCTGCTGCCTTGGACCATCTCCTCAACACACTGCTTTTGTCCATTTTTTTCCACTTCTTGGATTCCTGCGCTGCAGCCAGGGGCTCCCTTCTCCCCTGTTCCCAGGAGTCCAGGGCTGCCGCTGTAGCTTTTCCACAGGCATGTACACAGTGGACAGGGAAAGACCTGTGCTTTACTGAGGTCTTGGCATAGATAATGGCTTATTTTGTGTGGCTGCTGATGGAGGCAGAAGCCATGAATCAGGAGTGGGCAGGGCAGGGTGGCCTTGACTGAGCTCTGGCCTCCTTTTCCAGATGATAATGGCCTCAACCCAGTCTGGGCTTCCACCCAGGAGAAGGTGACATTTGAGATTTATGACCCCAACTTGGCATTTCTGCGCTTCGTGGTTTATGAGGAAGATATGTTCAGTGATCCCAACTTCCTCGCTCATGCCACCTACCCCATTAAAGGCATCAAGTCAGGTAAGGGCCATTGCGATGACGTTCGGTCCCAGCCGCTCTCCTTGGTTTGTGCTGCTGGCTCTGGTGGCTGTGCTGCAGGAGTGATGGCATGGCCTAGAGCTTGTACTTCGCAGATGCAAAGCCAGAGGGCTGTGAGAGGCTGGATTGGTACCTGGTGGTCAAATTGAGATTTTATTTATTTTTATTGGAAAGTCAGATATACAGAGGAAGAGACAGATCTGCCATCCGCTGATTCACTCCTCAAGTGATGACAATGGCTGGAGCCAGGAGGCTCTTCTGGGTCTCCATGTGGGTGCAGGGTCCCAAGGCTTTGGGCCATCCTTGGCTGGTTTCCCAGGCCACAGGCAGGGAGCTGGATGGGAAGCAGGGCTGCTGGGATTAGAACTGGTGCCTGTATGGGATTCTGGGTGTGCAAGGGGAGGACTTGAGCTGCTAGGCCACCACGCCAGGGCCCTCAAGTTGAGATCTGTAGCTGCTGTAGAAGTGATCAGCTCCTTGAAAAAAAACTCCAGTGAGTTTATAGAATTTTTGAAAGTGCTTAAATCCTCAAAGTCCTCACCTTGAATGTGCCAGGATCCCATATGGGTGCCGGTTCTAACCCCGGCAGCTCCACTTCCCATCCAGCTCCCTGCTTGTGGCCTGGGAAAGCAATTGAGGATGGCCCAACTTGGGATCCTGCACCTGTGTGGGAGACCTGGAGGAGGTTCCTGGCTCCAGATTGGCACAGTGCCAGCCGTTGCACTTACTTGGGGAGTGAATCATTGGGCAGAAGATCTTCCTCTCTATGTCTCCTCCTCTCTATATATGTATCTGACTTTGTGGTAAAGATAAATAAATTTTTAATTGAAAAAAAAAGTGCTTAAATCCTCTGGTTTTAGCACATTAGAACTTTCCATTTTTATAATTTGCTCTGATACTCTGAAAGGATGCTTGGTTGTGAGCCCCAGAGCCTGATGTCTGGCAAGCCTTCTTAGTTAATTGGCCTACTCCATAAACTACTGGAAACCACGCAATTACAGTGGTTGTTTAATTTGTAATGTGCCTCTTGCAGATTAACTTAATAAATAAGGCCTAGGCATGATGCCACTTCTCCCTCTGTAGGGAGAGTAGTTTCTTTTAAATCTATGGTCCAGGCGCCATGGCAGACAGGTTTTCAAGGTATCTATGCCAGCTGGTTCCTGACCTGTCTCCATCATGCTGTACCTGTGGGGGCCTGTGCTTAAGTACAGGCCTCTTGGAAAATGAAGGGCCTGGTCTTGCCCTTTCCTCCATCTGACCTGTACTGAGGACAGACTTAATGAAACTTTCTTACCTTGCTGGCTGTCAGAGTATCCAGGCTCACCTAGAAGATGCTCCGTGTAAGAACAAGAGCCTTGATGGAGTGCCAGTACCCCCTGCCCAGCTGTGAGTCCTCTGAGCTGGGGCTTTTGGTCTCTTCCCTGCTTTTTAGCTCCCAACAATGGCTGGCACATCTGTATGCATGAGAGAGAAAGGAACTGAACAGACCAATGGGGCACCCCACATCAAGAACCTTCTGAGCTTGCCTGTTGTGGGGCATGACTCAAGCTGTGGGCTTGGTGAGGAAGCCGCCTTTGCTGCCTGTCTTTCAGTCTCCACAGTAATCCTGGGGAAGGGGTTCTGCCATCTTTGCTTTTAGCATCTGGGCACTCCATGGGTTAGCGGTGTGAATTGCTGTGCTCACGGTCTTAGATGCATAAGACCAGAGCAAGGACTCAAACCCAGGAGTGTCTGACAACTTCCTGCTCCAGAGCTTGCACTGGTAAGGCCTCCCTTTCTGCCAGCAGGTGCTTAAAGATCCACTCACCTTACCTTTTAGAGGAACAGCTTTTAGTTCTCTTGCCCTGTAAAACAACCAAAGCAAATGAGAATAAAAATTCTATTTTTAGGGGGAAGGAAGTGAGAAGCACTTTTGAGCCCCAACTCCAATAAACCTGAACTGTTTGTCCATTGTGTCAACATGAGACTTGGGATGTGGAGCTAGAGAAAGCTCATGTGCCCAGACTCCTTACGGCAGCTGCCAGGTGTCCATCAGTCTGGCCTGGCATGGAGCCGCACTGCCAGGGAGCACAGAGCCCTCATAGTCCAGCTCCTAACGGCAGCTGCCAGGTGTCCGTCAGTCCGACCTGGCATGGAGCCGCACTGCCAGAGAGTACAAAGCCCTCGCAGTCCAGCTCCTAACAGCAGTGCCCACTCAGAACTCACGCATGCATTTCAGGTTGGAATAGCATTAGTCTACCCACAGTGATTCTGTGGCTGGCTATCCAGACAAAAAACAGTGACCAAACCACCATTGCTGAACTGTCGCATCATCAACAAGGGGTAAGCAGGTCCAAGAATATCAACGACGGCAATCAACAGGAGGTCATCCAAGTTCCTACAGGAAGAACACAACTTGAGCACTTGATACCCACTCAGTCTTGCCCCTAAGAGGACAGAGAGGTTCCCACACACCTGCAGGTCCCAAGTTACAAGAAAACCAAAGTGGACAAATTTGGCCAACCAGGACATCCATAGGGAAGTTCAGGAAGAAGATGGCCCACTCTAAGACTTGTACGTTTCACTGCTTGTGAATGCCATGTTGTTACATGAAGAGGAACAGTGTAAGGCATTGTGGAGCTCCTAAGGACAGAGGGAGGGAGAGATGTGCCAGTGTCTCCGTATTACTATGAATTGTCTAACAGGATGGACAGATGGGAGAACGGGGAAAAGCTTGTAAAAGCTTACTGGCAGTCTAGGTGGTGGGTGTGCCTTCTGCTCTTATAGCTTTACTGAATGAAATGTCCACAGGAAAATGTCAGAAAATCCCAGCTCAGCTGCCTGCCCTGGGGGAATCCTGCTTACAAAATGGAATGCAGGTATCAGCACCATGTCGAGGTATAAACTATAATTCACCCCTTCTGGAGGAAGGCAGGGAGCGAGAAGGGACTGGATGGCTTAAGTGTGGCGCTTACCTCATCTGAAACTGGATCATGGTGCTTCTACAGGTGGTGTTCAAAGGTGACAGGTCAGCCAAAAGTATAGCTGGAGGCACTACACTCAATGTGCAATCTTATGTGGGTTTTTTTTTTCCTGAGTAAATTGGCTTCCTTTCGAGATGGCAGAGTTCCTAGCTGGACTTTCCCAGATGGACTGACCCATCATTGCTGCTGCCCTCTGTCCCCGGCTTTGAGCCTGGGATCCCTAGCTGGCCAACAGTGAGTCGGGCTGCACGTGAGCACTCACCTTCTCCAAGAATGCCGAGCCCAACGTCACCTTTGCCTTTCCCCCTGTTGTGCTGCAGGCTACAGATCTGTCCCTCTGAAGAATGGGTACAGTGAGGACATTGAGCTGGCTTCTCTCCTGGTTTTCTGTGAGATGCGACCAGTCCTGGTGAGTGGTGGGTGACCAGCAGGGCAGGGGAAGCAGGGATGGCGACCTTTGGCCGGTGGACTTGAGCCCAAGGAGACCTGCTTTTCTGTTATTTCCTTGAGGTCTTGGGTTTTCCTTCCAGCATTCTTTTTCCGGCGGAATGGCATCCAAGTCTGGAGTAGGCAATGTGGTTGGCAAAGGTCAAGGCCGGGGGAGTTCTGCAAAGTTTCATTTCTGCAAGAGCCCATAGAGAGCATATGCATCCAGATACCATAAAAGGGTCTGGGAACATCCACAATGCACTTACAGGAGGCAGTGTGTGGATCGCACCTGCTCTTTTCCCTATGGAGGCAGCTTGCTCCTGGGTCCTGTTGATGTGCCAAGGCCCTAAAGGATGAACTGATTTGGGCGAGCTTTGTGGAAAAGAGTTGGGCTTTGCTGAATTTTTATAAAAGGAAGCAATGAAGTTGCTCAGGACCAAGGGTCCACAAGGCAACACTGGGCAGGGAGGCCTGGGGTTATTGGTGAAGACTGGACACACACGGTCACATTGGTGCTCCTGCGTCTTCACGCTGGCACTCCCTGAAGCTCAAGCCCACTTGGGGTGAGCACCACTCCAGGTCTCTTCAGCTAAGCTAAAACGCCTGAGGTTCTAGAAGCCAGTGAGCTGATCTGGGTGTGGTCGGCACTCCTGGCCACCTTTCTGGTATTCACTGCTAGCTAGGGAAAGCCACAGGCCGTAATGGGCTGCTCCCTCTTGGCCGTAGGAACCCAGCAGTGATTGGGAAGTTGCCTGCTTGGCAACTTGCAGAATGTGAGTAGAGTTGGGAACCATCAAGTGGCGAGGGAGACAGCAGGGCAGGCAGGGCTTTCGACAGCCCCAGTCATAGCCCGTGCAGTAAAAATTAATGAACTTGATTCAGTCAGAAGAGAGAACATAAGGCTTTTCTGCATGGCTGTTGTGCTTTTTCGCAGCCTTGTTAGTTTTCCACTCCAAAGCATTTTAGAATGCTTTTGGATGATAAAAACAAGGAAAGGCAGACAGGGGGCTGAGCCTTAAAGGTCTGGGCCAAAAACCTCAGGTACCCAAAGACATCCATCCTGGTTTGCTGGTATAAAACCTTTTTGTGATGGTGAGTTTTCTACTTGAAGTGTTATACTGCAAAGTTAAATATAAGGCTTACATGCAAAATGGTAGTTTGCTCTTAAACTTCAGCGATCTGGAAAAATCTCCATTTATGATGCTTGCTATGATAGAATTACTTGCTCATGAAAATTTGCATAAATTCTTCCTTTTCCAGGGCCAAATTGGGTATTGAGAATACCCAAGCTGTAAATGTTTCCTCTTTTCAAATGAATTATGCATTGCCAGTGTGTCCTTAGCAAGAACAAAGTGTTTAATAAGTTCATTAACACACCTAAACCAGAATTACTGTTTCTTATAAAGCACTAACATAAAACCACAGCCCAAATTGTGTGGGAAGTGTAGAGTTGTAGCTTCATAATTAGAGGGGGAGAAGAGGAGTGTTAACTTCTTTCTATAAAGAAAGCAAAATCGATCTGGTATTAAGGATATAAATTTATGTATACTTAAAAAAAAACCTTCATTGTTGCCCATTGGGGCTAGGTGCTGTATTTTTAAAGATTCTTTGAAAGGCAGAGTTATGGCCCTCATCTGCTGGTTCGCATCTCAAGTGGTTATAAGGTCCAGCCTGATGCAGGAAGAAGTCTGGAACTTCATCCTGGTATGCTATGTGGGTGGCAGGGGCCCAAGGCTTCCACATAAACTAGTAGGGAGTTGCACCAGAAACAAAGCAGCCAGGACTCAAACCAATACTCCAAAATGTGATGCCAGTGGTGCCTTAACTTGCTAGGCAGTTCTCTGTGGTGGGGACTATGTGTGCATTTCTGCCTATGACCCACTTGATGCCAGTGGCAACTGCCACCCCATCTCCAGTCAAATCTCACTGGGATGTAAAATCTTTAGTTGAGAACCACTGCTCAAAAGTGAGATTATAGGGGTTAGTACTGTGGCAATACTGGGTTCAGCTGCCAACCTGCCCTGCTGGCAACCCCTGAGAGCACCAGTTTGAGTACAGCTGCCTTATTTCTAGTCCAGCTTCCTGCTAATGCTTCTGGGAAAGCATGGAAGAGGCCCAACTGCATGGGGAGACCCAGATCAGTTCCTGGCTTTGGCCTGTGCAGAGACCCATGTGGGGAGAGACCCAGCAGATGGAATAGCTCTAAATGCCATTCAGACAAGAGAGAAACAAATGACATTATAAACACTTTTTCATTATTGCCTCATCTTCACTAGCTGCTTAACTGTTATGCTCTCCCACCTAGCGGGCTGGCCCTAAGTGAATCACACCCCCAAATGGGGACATCAGTGCAGACTACTTACAACTAAGCATTTAATGCAGCCCCTCGTGGGAGTACCTTTTTGTCCTTTAAAGTCACATTTCCTTAAGGTCAGTGAACATAGGATGGTGAAATTGGAATAGCTGAGGCTTCGGCAAAAGCCGTGACCTAGCAAGCTGCAGGCCCTTGTGCCTGGTGAGGTTTACCTCCCTAAAGATGTGGGCTTCGTCCACCTGTGGCCTGGGGGAAAGGAACCAGCACTTCCACTCTCCAGAAACGCCCATCTAAAGCCCTTGGCAGGACACTTGCTGAATAAAGACAGTTTCACACATAGCACGGTAGGCTACTTTTGTGGCAAGGCTGTGTTAAACAACCCCAGAAAAGAGATCATGGTTTCAGTGAATGGGTATGTCTGGCAGCTGGGAAGCTTACAGGAAGCTGTCCAGACTTGATGTCTCTGATGAAGGAAGATGCCTACCTTGGTTGCTGTAGGGGGCTCCCGATGGGGCATTTCAGCGCAAGTAGGGCCTGAGGGTGTGCATTTCAGCTGCTGGTCCTCAGAGCAGTGTTCAGGGTGACACCTCTTACCTGGCTCTGTGCCACTCACAGGTGTTGCTTGGCATCTCCATCCACAAGGGTCTCTCTTGGAAACCGAGCTGCATTCGGCGGCCGTGGCCTTTTCTGCGGTGCCCGAGGTCAACCTTTGCCCTGGGAGAGACTCTGGATCAAGTCTGCTAGGACTGTTTACCAGTGAGGGCCAAGATGGACTTCACTCATGACACATTTGCTGAGATCAAGGTTATAGCCCCGCAAACAGCCAGTAAGGTCCTTAAAGCCCTGAAGGAGCCATTTACATGTTACTATTACTTACCAATTCTCCATCCTTCACTTTGCTTTCTGGATATATGTGTTCTAAAGAATATTTTAGCATGATTTAACAAACTAAATATAGTAAAGTTTTAAGTAGGAGGAAAGGGGGAATTGAAGAAAACCCCCACGAACCACCTGTTTATGAGCAGTGAGCATCTTGGTCAGTTTTCTTCACATTATGACATTTTTGCATATGGTATTGCCATAATTTAATTCATTCATTTTTTCATAGTGCCAATGTGATTTTCAGAACTACTGATGCTTGCTGGGTCAGGCCTAAGGCCCTAACTCAGCCTGTCTTCCACTGATGTTACTCACAGCCTAAATAATAAAGGTATTTCAATAACTTTCTTTTTTGGTTAAAAACTCCCAAGGCTAGGTAAAGTAGAAAAGAGAACAGTAGACATGTTTTTAGGATATGGGCTGAATTATTCTCTAAAGTAGTTTCTTTTAGGCTCAGTCTTGCCAGAGATTGAAAGGGACGTCCACTAAGAGAGCTAAGAACCTGTGTGACTCAGACATATGGAAGCTCCAAAACTGGCCGTGACCATGACAGACGGGAACCTTACAATCCCGAAGGGTAGTTGGGCAAAACTGCTTGCGCTGGCCTTTGCTGGACAGTGGGTGGGAGCCAAGGAGCCAGGGAATGAGAGGCTTGGAGAAAAGACTTCTGTCCTGGGATTTCGGCTTAGTGCTCAGCCAGAAGAGAAGGACAAGTCCTTTGGGAAAGAACTACAGCACACACGTGAGAACCTTGTGTGCTGTGGCTCCTGGGAAGGTTTTCTTCCCCTTGAGGGGACCTGGAACCACAAGATGAGGGCCCCACAACTAGATGTCACTACTAAACAGTCAAAACCACGAGGCAGACATAGAAAAACATGATGTGCCACCCAGCAATCAGAGGGACAGGCTCAAGTGCACACCCAGGGCAGGTGGCTGGTCACTGCAACACAGCCACTGGAAGCATCAGAGGCAGTTGCAAAAATGCCAGAACGTTGGGAAAAGGCCTGCTGGGATTGAAACAAGAAACTGACATCTTGAGTTTAACAGTGAGTCTATAAATAAGCCTGTATTAATGATTCCAAAGATCGTGTGGAAGTAACACCTCATGTTCCAGATTGGCAAGCATCAGATTCCTGAGGGAGGAGGGAGGAGGACAGTGACCTGACACAACACGACCCAGAGCGCGGCAGGAACTATCAATGACACGGGGATGTATTTTCTGATCTGCTGCTTTGTCCCAGATGGGACGCACAGAAAATACATCCACACTCAAGTAAAAAAAAAAAAAATTCTAAGGATCTGTTTAAAACATACAGTCCTTAAAGCACAAAAATGTAAAGAAAAACCAAAGACTTGTAATATCAATTATGTCCTCTTCACTGAAAACTGGAAGATACTCAAATGCCATTTACAGATGAAGACCAGAGAGCTCTGGGGTCAGTAGGAATGCATTTTGGGGCATGGAAAATTTTAGACCTAATGTGGATCCTGCACAAAGGAAACAGTAAGACATTCCCCACCCCCATCAGATTTCTACACAGCAAAATGGAGAGATCAGTGAGTAATTTTGCAGTCTAACTTATGATGATCACAATATGATTAAAATTTTATGATGCTAAGCATCAAGGATTTTTGAAACACTGATAAAAATTTCATCATCCGAAGCTAAGAATAATCAAATATCAGCAAAACGCAAGCAGATGCATCAAGGTAAAATAGAGGTGTCCTAGAGGATTCCAGCTTTGGTGCCTGGAGAACCAGGGCAAATCAAGCATCCTGCAGAGGGA